AACACCGAGGGTTGCGATCCCGTTGCCGGTCAGTAAAAAAGACAAAAAAAAGGAAAAAAAATAATAATAAAAGAAAAGAAAAGAGAGGAAGAGGAGGAGGAAGAAAATAAGAAAAAGAAGAGATGGAGGAGCAGGAAGGCAGAGGCCAAGAGGGTCTGGGACACAGAGAGTGACAAAGGGTGAGGCACAAGATGAGCCTGGGAAGTCAGATGGGGCCAGATAAGGGAGGATGCTTCCCCTCTCTAGACCTCAGTTTCTCCATCTATCCAATGGGAATAATATTGGCTCTCCTGGAGGTTCTGCTCTAGGGATAAGATAAGCTCATGCAAATTCAGGCAGGTGCCCTATAGGGCCTATGGTGGGAAACGGGAAGCTGCTGGATGTTTCTAAACCGGGACCTAACATGAGGCAGAGTGGCTTAGCGGACACAGTGTGGTAATGAACCTGCTTCAAATTCCTGCTCTGCCACTTACTTATCTGGGTGACCTTGAGCAAGTCACTTGCTCTATTGGGGCTTCAGTTATCTGTAAAACAGAGCTGCTAGGGGGCTTAACAGGCAACCTAGGGAATGCTCATCTTTCATCTTTCTAAAAGATGACTCTTGCCCCCTTCTATTGTTTCCCCCCTTATGTGCAGTGCCAGTGGGCAGCAATGAGGGGCCCAGGTCACAGGCATCAGCTGGTTGTCACACAAAAGTGTAACTGTGCTTTAGGGTGATGACAGGAGGGCAGGAGCCTCAGGAGATTCCGGAAAAGGGGACAATGGCTTCTGGAGGGGGATTTCAGACCTGGGTCAACTGGCCTCTTCATCTTTTAAAATTTTCGAATCACAAGCTCTATTTGTTTATCCTTTCCCCCCACCACAACCTACCTTTTCTCCCACGATTCCTGGCTCCCCGACCAGACCAATGAAGCCCAGAAGTCCCTAGGAGACACATTTATCAAAGCAGAGGAAACCACGTGAATTCAAGAAGTGCTGAGTTTCAGGGCAACCCGCCTGCGCTCTCCTTCCTCTGGAGCTCAGTCCCCCAGGTGCCTCCTAGCCCGTGCCTGGTAACCCCACCAGCATGGGGCTGCCACCAAGGAGAGCGTTGCCTCTCTCTGGGCACCGTCCTGACTTCCCTCACTCCACCAGATGGTTCTGATTTTGGAGCCAAGTGGTGGGGCCGCTGCCAACATCCCTGGGAGCTCCGCACATTCTTCCCGCGCCAGAAGCGGGCTGGGAGGCAGCCACATTTGGAGAGCTGGGGTGGGGGGGAGGGTGGCCCTTAAGCTGTGCTGGGAAGAGGCCATCTGTCCCCATCTTTTGGGGCTCTGGGGCTGTTCAAAGAGAGAAACAAACCCGCTGGCCAGGATAGAAATACCATAGCAGCCTCCGCCAAGAGATCTGATTGAAATCTGGGAAGTGGAACCTCCTCATTACTGTCTTCTGAAAGGCTTCCTCTCCTCTTTCTGAAAGGGCACGTGCACGTGTGTGTGCATGCACACGCACACACACACACACACACAGGGGCTCCCACTGCTCTTTTTAACTCCTCTGGGTGATAACTCACCCCTGTGTTCCAGGGGCTTCCTCTAGGTGGCTGCTGGCCTGGCTGTCTCCCTGAACGGGCAAACATGCACACGCATAGCCGGGGTGGACATCCTGGGGAAATCGCCCAGGAAGGTAGACCAACTTCCTGTGCAGTCCCCAACCCTCTAAGGAAAATGCAAGCAGAGGGGGGGTCTTCCGTGGTTCAGGAGTGAAAGAGGCTTTGGAGGAACCCAGATTGACAGCCAAGAGTTTCTGGGAGAATTAGGAAAGTCTGAGGGATGAGTCGCTTTGTCCTGTAAGATCTGCTACCTGTTCCCAAACTCTGGCCAGAGTGAAAGGAGACCTTGGGTGGGTAACAGACCAGAGGTCATATGCTCGGGCAGTAAGGCTGACCCACCTGTCAGAGTGAGGGGTTCCTGCCCAATTCCCAAGGGTGATCTCCGAGACCCACACTTCCTCATCCAAAGACAGATTTAAAGTGGCAGCTCCAGCCAGAACCGTTTGTGTCTTGCTGGGATATTGGCTCCAGTCTGTGTGGCTCCAAAGCCCACACACCATCCCCTCCACCTCGGGGCCTCCAAAGCATGTGGCTGTGAGCAGGGCCCAGATCTCCCTGACATCCCGGCACCATTGCCACACATAGGGGTCCTGGGCCCAGAGACCCTTCAGGGGTGAAGTGTGAGGTGAGAGGGACAAGGTACAAAGTATGAAGTCACGGCCAATATGTCACAGAAAATAACCCAATATTTTACTTTTGTAACAACTCACTTTGAAAAACTCAGTTAGAGCACTTTCAAGGTGATAGCAATATTAATACCAACAGCTTCGCAGTATTGATCTCTTACTTTGTGCCAAGCTCTGTCCCTGGCACTTTATCTATGTCATTGTCATTCAATCTCCATGTGCATGGACTCTGGGCAAATCACAGTCTCTCTGAGCCTCATCTGCAGAAAGGGAGATGATAAAGGTCCCTCCCTTCCTCCTGGGGTCGTTCTGAGCATTTGAGACACTGCACAGCACATGTGGGTACTCAATAAATGTTAGTTCTCTCCCAGCACATCCTAACTTATTTTTAAAGGGCACAGGGTTAAGACAGAGGCCTGAGCTCCCCACAAGGGTGCAGTCACACATTTAGAGGATGCCGAATGAAGGGAATAGAAACTGCTCTGTTAAAAGGCTCCTGCCCGACTGGCCCAAAGAAACAGAAATTTCATAGCTACTTTAAATTTATGAGTTGTTGGGTCCTGGAAGGCAAGCGGGTCATAAACCTCAAACAAGAAGCCAAACAGGATCCTAATGAATAAGGGCCATACAGCAAGTGCCCCATTTCCCACCCCCATTCCTGGGACCCCCTTGTGGCACTGTCCCGGAACATCTTGGCAGGCCTGTCCTGTGGATGGCACTGAGGCTGGTGCAGGGAAGCCAGCCACAGAGGCCCAGGGCTTGCACCAGGCAGGTCGGGTGGAGAAGCAGCTCTGAAAGCCGCAGGCACGGCTGGATCCTCTCGGGCTGGCGAGAGTGTACAGGAAGGGAAGCAGCATTGTTATCTACAGAGAGCACAGCACAGGCAGGACCTGAGTCCCCAGTTTTGGGGACGAGGCTGGACTGGTCCTCACGTTGCCTATAGATAAAGTGCCATTGTCTTCTATGGGAGCTTTTCTCCCGCTCTCCTCCCTTCTCTCATATGACATTCTGCTAGGCACTGGGGATGCAATTGAGAGTAAGAAGGCTGGGTCCTCAATTGGTCTAGACAGCTTAGGTTAGGTGCTGACATGCTGACATACACGGCTTCCCCTGGACAGAGCTTCTTGAAGGCAAGGCCCATGCCTGTGCCCAGCACCTAGGACAGGGCCTGGCAAGCAGCCTTCTCTATAACTAACTGTTAGATAAATGCTCAGGAGTTCAAAGAGTTCTCTAGTCCCTCCAGGGCAGGTCTTGGAATCCAGCAAACCTAAGTGTCAATCTTGGCTCTGAACAGTATGTTACTGCCTGTGAGATCTCGGACAAGTTACTTAACTTCTCAGAGCCTCAGTTTCCTCATTTGCAAAATGGGAATAATAGTAACTACCTCTATAGGGCTGCCAGGGAGAATTGCAGGTGATAGTGCATAGAACGTTTGGCACAGAGCTTGGTACTTAACAGGTAACCAATAATAAATGTAGCCATTACTGTGATTATAAGGAGGTCCTGTGGCATAAGCATCAGAACTCTTTCCTGGGGATCATCTGATTCTACCATGAACAGGAAACGTCTGCCCTTTCAGCACGACCACACAAGGAGAGAACTGAGGGAACAGCCACGTGGTCGCCCAGCATGCCTTACAGTAGCCACAGGGTTCCAGCTCTGCTGACCAAGCAAGCCCGGGCTGCCCCAGGCAGGGTTCCCATCTCATCTGGCCCCAGCTCTGCCACTACCCCGCTTGATCATCTTGGTCAAACATGTTTCTCCTCTATGAATCCCAGATTGCCAACGTGGACAAGGATCCAGGAGTTCTTAACCTGAGGTCTCTGTAAGGCTCTATGGAGGGATTTTCGAGGGCCCATGAACTTGAATGAAGAAAATCACAACTTTCATTTTCATGAACTCTAATTGAAATTTAACATGTCCTTCAAATACAAGTGTAGGCAACAAGCCACAGTAGTATTACTGCCAGATAGTTACATGTCACATTAGTCATTGCTGCAGAAATCTCAAAATACATCATTAAGGCTTGTCACCATCTCAAAATTGAGGTCGTTGTTAGACCTGGTGCTAGAGCTCATGATTTAATGTGTTAATAAAGAAGCATATATATGTATATCACATTTTAACATATTTTCATAATCATACGGCAGTATAATTGGTTTCCTTTGTAATAATTTGCTTTTTATTTTATGCGTTAAAAAACTCTATTCTGAGAAGGGGGTCCGCGGGCATATATGTATATCACATTTTAACATATTTTCATAATCATACGGCAGTATAATTGGTTTCCTTCGTAATAATTTGCTTTTTATTTTATGCGTTAAAAAACTCTATTCTGAGAAGGGGGTCCGCGGGCCTCACCAGCCAGGCAAAGGAATCCAAGGCATGAAAAATGGTTAGGACCCCTGGATAAAGTGATTTCCAAGGACCTTTGTGTTCTGACATTCTAGGACTCTGAGTATCTATTTCCCGAGGGCCCTAACATTAGCATAACTATGAAATTGAATTTGCTGATCATATTGCCTTTTTTTTTCCAATCAGGAAATATATCCAGGCCGCAGCAGACTTTCCAAACTCCTGGGCTTCCCACAGAATGCACTGGAATGATGCTGGAAAGATTTCAAAAATCCAGGCCTCCTCCTGCTCTAATTCCTTTCTTCCCCCCAACAGATGTTGCAGGCCTGGGGAGGAAGCCCATCATGTGTGCAACTCTCACGCCACTGACGGTGTTTCTGGGGTAGCCAAACTCTTCCGGGTCTCCAGCCTCAGTCCTCCTTCCTATTTGAGGAAGCTCCTTCCAGGGTTCTCGGGGTGGGGTCCTTACTTAAAGGAGTAGATGAGATGGCCACCTTTCCCCCTCCAAGCCCAGCGGTTACGCTTTCAGGAGATGCTGGGGCTGGGGAGGAGGGACTAAAGCTGTCCATCCACCCAGCACTCAGAGCTGCTTCTCCAGACTTTGATAACTGAAGGTCACAATCCTCAAACCTCCTTCTCAGTGACTGGTTGCAACCTCCTCTCTTCCTCAGACCTTGGCCTAGCTTCCCAACAGGCCAGAGCCACTGGTTTGAATCGCATTTTCTTTATCATTTAGGGATGCCTGGACTTCTCTAGCTTTTGGCTTCCAGGTCTATAAACCGAGGGGAGCATGGGCAAGGATGGTTAAGGGCTCTTCCAGCTTTAACGTTCTGGGAGTGAAGTCGCATAACCTCCTGGGGAGAATAGACCAAAAACACCTGTGTAGAGTCAGGCTGTGAGGAATGGCCTTTGTGACTAAGACTCATGGCTTTCTCATTCAGATTTCACCTCTCTAAGAGTCACTATTCACATCAATGAAAGGGGGAGAGGATTGAAACTATGTCCGAGCTGTTCTGAGAATGAAAGGAGGTGGTGCATGGAGGGTGCTTAGCAAAGGGCTTGGCACAGAGCAAGTGCTCAATTAACGGAGCCACTATGTTCGGAGACTGCCGCTAACTTACCTGCTCGCCCACGGGCCCCGGCCGTCCAGGATTCCCTGGTTCCCCCTGCAAAGAAACAAACAGGAGGATCAATTGGGATGGGAGATGGAAGTCTCGGCCTCTGGGGAACTCCCAGGGCTACTGGCCTTAGTTGCCATCGGTGGGGATGAACCAGGAACCTCAGTTCCAGAGTCTGTTCTTAGAGACTCCAAACAAATGGCAGGGACAGAGGGGCACCTGGACAGAACCTCTGGCCCCAGACATAACTCTAGTCACCCTTCCCTCTGAGTGTATCCTGGCAAATCACGCAACACACTGAAGTGTGTATTTCATTTGGGTCCTTCAGCAACCATTGCACTTTGTGGAGGTGGAAACTAAGGCCCAGAGAGGTGAAGTGACCTGCCCAAAGTCACACAGAAGGCCAGAGGAAGGGCTAGAGTTGGAACCTTGGTCTGACTGATTGAAATGCCCATTCCCACTGCAACAGGCTGCAACAGCCCCTACCCCAGGAAGAGCAGTGAAGTGGGGTTGTAGACCTCAGTCTCCCAGAGCTCTGCCACCAGTCACAGGTGACCATGGTGCGTCTTGCCTCAGCTCTGAGCTCAGCCTCCCCAGCTATAAATAAAGGAAATAAGACTCATTCATCTTCAAGGTTATTTCCAGCTCTCACACTTGCTAGCCTATCAGAGCCTTGTCTGTCAGTTTTGTCCCATGCTGGGGAGGCTCCTGCTCCTTAGGTGGCCACAGCTGCCCTGAGCTCCCCACAGCATGAGCTGGAGAGAGGCAAGCAGACCCGTGGGATAAATCCAGGCAGACTGTGTCACCACTCCCACCACAGAAACCTAACTGGTATCTGAGGGAGAAAGGCCGAGACCTCAGAGGGCAGGACATGGGCTCAGACTAGCCAGAGTTTGGCTCAAAACCAGATGCGGCTCACTGAAGTCCCAGCTGGAGCCTCGTCCTCCCCTCCAGCTCCTCCCCTGGACCCCATGAGCACAGAAATCAGAGGGGCCAGGACAGACAAATGCACCAGTTAGTTCCCCTGAAGAGAGGGACACGTGGATGACCTGGGCTCCCCCAGTTCTGCCCTAACCTCATGTGGGTTTGCTCATCTGTAAACTTGGCCCAACAACCTCTTGCTTGGAATGGCTGGGAAAATCCAACCCTTCAAAAGGAGTCCTTGGAAAAAACACTAAGTGAGGCTGTCCCTGTGTTGATTTTTTCTTCCCTACCCTGGGCCAGTTCTTTTTTGATAATTAAAAAAAAACGAAAGAGTTAAAGGCAACTCATATTTATTGTATACAGTGGGGGAAATATAGGAGCCTAGAGAAGAAAGTGAAAATCTCCTATTATCCCACCACCCAGGGATAGGCCCTGTCAACTTCCCAACCTCTGCTCTGTGCACATACGGACAGGGCGTAACCCAGGCCCTGCAACAAGCTCAAGCACTGACATTCCATCCTATAACTTGCTTCCTACCACCCCTCCCCCACCCCATGCACAGGTGTATTTCCATCCTGTAAAATATTCCACAACACAACCTTGGGTGGCTGCACTAGATCCCATTACTTGAACAATCCCTCACTGTTGGACAAATAGATTATGCCCATGTTTTTCCCCTCTGTTACTAATACTTTGTGATAAACGGCGACCAATTTTTTCTCCCTTCTCACAATTGGTCATGAGATTCAGGACTTGTCCTGGGGCCCTCGTATGTTGGACCCCCCTCTTTCCTCTTGGTTCCAGGCATCCCTAGTTTTTTCCCCTCTGTTACTAATACTTTGTGATAAACGGCGACCAATTTTTTCTCCCTTTTCACAATTGGTCATGAGATTCAGGGCTTGTCCTGGGGCCCTCGTATGTTGGACCCCCCTCTTTCCTCTTGGTTCCAGGCATCCCTAGGTCTCCTCACCTTCAAGCCATCCCGGCCGGACCTCCCAGGAAACCCCTTCCTGCCAGGCTGACCCTGCAACGGAGAGACAGATGAGTGAGATAGAGCTGGGCAGGGGCAGTATTGGGGTTCTGAGGAACTGACCCAGGGTCCCCATGGGCTGGGGAGGGCCACAGTGCCCAGGAGGTTAGAAACAGAGCCCTGCAGCCACCAGGCAGCCAGCTGTCTTCGGATACAAGGAGGGTCTCCAGCTGTGTGACCTCAGAAAAGCCTTCCTGCTCCTCATTTGCAAATAGGGATGATGACGCCTGCTTTCAAGGAGCGAGGGAAAGGCAGGGACCTGGCAGATTATCAGGGTCACAGGAAAATGGAGAGCTTATGCTAGCGGTACTCAAAGTGTGGCCCGAGGACCTTAGGGGTCCCTGAGACCCTTTCGGAGGATCGTGAGGTCAAAACTATTTTCATAACAGCACTAACATATCATTTGTCTTTGTCACTGTCATTCTCATAAGTGTAAGTGAAGTTTTCCAGAGGCTACATGACATGTGATATCACAACAGATTGAATGAAGAAGCAGATGTGAGAATCCAGCTGACTTCTATTAAGGCAGGCATTGAAGAGATTAGCAAAAATGGTAACACAATGCCAATTTTTCTACTACATTATTTTGCTTTAAAAATATATAGTGATTTTTAATAAATCATTATTTTTGTGAACAAGAAATGGGTTTATTATTAATTTTCAGTGACTTAATAAATACATTTGAAGTTTCTCAGTTCTAATTACCAATATCAATAGATGCAAACCACACAAACAAAAGCTCTTTGGGTCCTCAATCATTTTTAAGAGTGTAAAGAGGTCCTGAGACCAAAAAATTCATGAGCCCACTGGGTTATGCGAGTGGGACGGTGACTTCTGGAAGGGTGGTTGGAGCAGAGAAGGGAACTTGGGGCTTACATTCCAGGCAGGGCACCCCGCTTGCTGGCTGTGAGATGCTGGGCTAAGCCCCTCACTCCTGAGCCTCACCTGCTTCCTCTCTAACGAAACTAAGAAAAGTGGTGCCTTGCTCACGGGAAAACCAAATGAGAAAATGGACACAAAGCACCCAATGTGATGACAGCCCATCAATTTCCTGCCTCTTGTCTCTGTCCTCTGGGGTCTGTCCTAGCCCTCTCTCTGGCTGCTCCTCCCTGATGACTTCTCTTGGGAGCACTGGCCAGATGTTGCCCGGCCTGTGCACAGCTGGCTCAGCTCCAACAAACCCCATCTCCTCCAGGCCAGCGACACTCACCTCCAAGCCAGGGGACCCTGGTGGCCCCATGGGTCCCTCATCTCCCTAGAGTCGGGAGACATGAGAGAGGAAAAAAGGAGAAAGTTAATTTGATGTGACTCTTGGTGCCTTGGGTTGAATGTCCCCCCAAAACTGAACCCCCACTGCAACTATTGAGGGTGAGAAGTCCTATTATGGTCATTGAAAGGTGGGGCCTTGAAGAAGTGATTATATTGTAGGACCATGTCATAGTGAATGGATTAATAATAGTGGTCAGGGGTGTGGTTCTGAGGGCTTTAAAAGGACGGCATATGAAGAGCTTTTCTCTCTCTGTGCTCCACCATTTTCTGCCATCTGAGACCCCTGGGTCACTATTGCCACCACCAAGACCTTCACCAGCTGTGTTCCCTGAACTTTGGACTTCCCAGCCTCTGAAACTGTAAGCAATAAATTTCCTTTTCATTATAAATCACCTAGTTCTGTGTATTTTGTTATAAGCAACAGAAATGGACTAATACACTTGGAGAACTTGTCCTGTAAGGAGGGAAAGAGGTGACAGAGGAGAGCACTTCTGGACAGAGAAATGGTGCACCTGGCCCACCTGCCTGGGCCCGCCCAGAGTGGGTGCTCCACTAGTCACGGCCTGGAGTCCAGGTCACAGAGTGACTTGCAGTGAATGGGGTCCCCTGGGTTCATGGCAGTCTTGGGCAGGAGAGTTAAACCCCATTGGGTGCTGTGAGGAATGGAGCCTCAGATGACAGTTCCAAAATAAAGGCTTTATTCTGAGCTCTGCCGTTTACTCACTGGCAGATCCCAGCCTCTCTGTGCCTCAGTTTCCCCAGAGTGGAGAAGATCATCCTAAAGTATGATGACTGGCTTTAGTTGAGTTCCTGGAGGACAGCAGTGATGACTTTTTCGTTCTTGAAGCCATCCCCTTTAAACAGCACTCAGGATGGTGCAGGGTCTAAGTGGATGTTTGGCGAATTAATGAATGAGCAAGTGAATGAATGAATGAAGACATGAGCGAGCGGCAGGCACACTAAGGGTTTTCCTGAGTAGTAATGTGAGTGTAGGCAGAAGCACATGGCTGTGCTGTCTCCCTCCTCTCCCCTTCCTTCCCCCTTGCGGCTCACAGAACTCTCCAGACCTTCTCACAGGTCCTCCTGGCATTCCAGGCCTGACCAAGGGGCTCCCTCCAGAGCCACCCCCCCAGCTCCTCTCCTCCAGCTTCCAGGAAAGCAGCCCCATGTGGCGGCTCCCAGAGCCAGCGCTGGGCCCCCGCCAGACCCAGAACCAGCCCTGCGAAGGGATCCATGTCAGCTGGGTGCCTGCCTGTGGTCATGTGAGTCTCGGCTTCCCGTGTTCTCACCCCAGCGCTGTGTGTCACGGGGGCCTGGGGCCTGCGCAAAGGTGGGTGATGGAGAGGGAGGCTACAGTGAGTCTCATGCACAGGGCAAAATCAGGGGCCCACCTACGCAGTGCCCAGCTTGGGTTCCAACAGGCCCATTGAGACCCCAAGTGCATGTAAATAAGCAAATCTTCACTTTGCCACTTACTAGAGTGCAGTCATGTCATTCTCTGGGGAGGCCCCCAGGCAGCTCCCAGGAGCACAGAAGTCAACAGCATAGGACCTGTGTTATGGGCTTTGGGCTCAAGCAGACCTGGGTTCAAATCATAGTCCTTCCTGCTACTAACCACGGGATGCGATGGAATCTCTTTACTTCCCTGAGTCTCAGTGGCCTCACCTGCAAAATGGGGCTGACGATTCCTACCTTCCCATATCAACGCCCCAATAAACCATGTGCTACCGTGAGCAGAGCAGTGGCAGGAGCCCCAGGAAAGGAAGCCCCAGGGCTGGGGGATGCAGTAGAGCAAGGAAGGGATCCATCCTGCCAGGTGGGGGCAGAGAAGGTCCCTAGAAGGGCCAAAGGGGCAGGGCTGTAAAAGATGGGCTGGGGAGCAAGTCTGAGGCAGCCCTGGGCTGTGTCCTGGCTGAGGGGGCCCCAGCCCCCAGCTAAGGCCTTCAGTACCCAGGACAGAGCAGGTGGGAGCTGTGGTCAGGCCAGAATGGGCAGTTGGGGGGGGGGGACAGGCAGGGGACAGGGACAGGCAGTCTCACCTCGGGCCCCAGATGCCCACGGGGTCCCAGCAGTCCTCGAGCTCCAGGTTTACCCTGAGAGAAGGGAATAAAACAGGATCTCAGAGGCAGCACCTTCATCTCCATCGCAGGCTGGCATGATGCCCCCTACTTCCAAGCCAGGTAGCTAGCCTTAAGGATTGCAGCTTTGCCAGCTGGAGCTACCCTGGGCAGAGACTCACCTTCGTGCCTTCTGGGCCGTTGTCCCCAGGGGGGCCAATGTCTCCTGGGAATCCCTGAAGGGAAGCAGAGTTCAGGGTCACCCATGGGGGCTGTGAAGGGAAGTGCTAAGAGCATGGGTTTTGGGGGATGCTGACTTCGGTTCCTATCTCTTCCTGCTGGGATGTGACCCCGAGCAGGCCAGTTAACCACCTTGATCCCGAAATTCTCAGTTCTAAAAGAGGGATGGATCATGGTACCAGCCCTGACACCTGAGAGAGTTGCTGAGAGAATAAATGAGACAGTGCGGGAAAGCATTAAGGTCATCACACATAAGGTCACCCGCAAGGTGGTCTAACCCAGAATTTTCCAAGTCCTCTGCTGCCACCAGGACAGAGTGATGGGTGTCCTGGGACGTTGCTGCCCAGAGCCAGCCATGCCCTACCCTGAAAAATCCCATCCTTTGATGACGGTGACCCTGCAAGTATGATTATATTCTGGGTTTGCTGTGATTTCCAAAGGGCTGGTAAGCACTGATTCGATTAACCTCTTGGCCACGTGCGTTGGACTGTGCCCCACACCACCCACAGTGGCTCACTGCTCCCCCACGGGATGACCGTACAATAGAAGATTCTGCCTGGCATGGAGCAGAATCACCTCCTTTCCCCCCAACATCCTTGTGCTACCCCTCAGGGCCCCACAAGCACAGGGGCTTCCTCTCCCCACAGTGAGAGCAGTTACCCCATTCCGAGAGGCTTGCCCTTCTCTGTCCCTTCAATGGCTTCTGGGCAGGGGCCCAGGGGCCCTCAGCCTGGCTGCCTCAATCAGTCATTTTCCATTATTACTAATCACCAGGACACCCATGCTCCTCTGGGTGTGGTCTGATCAGCACAAGCCAGTGTGGCAACATCCCCTTCCTTGCTTTAGGTGTAATGCCTCTGTTAATTCAGCCTAGAACCCCATTAGCTTTCAGGGCAGCCCCTACTTCAGTTTCCTGCCAGCTAGAAACCACGGCCTTTTTTTTCATGAGTCCCTGTGACCAAAATGCCCCCTTTCACCTTGCCTTCATAAAGTGGCTTCTTTTTTACTTCCTCTTTTTACCTTTTAGTAACGTCCATCAAATTCCAGCTCAAACATCCTCTCACCCTTCCCACTGGTAAAGGCAAGCATGGTCCTGAGTTTAGAATTAACACACTGAAACCAAAACCTCATGTCTTTTTCTTCAAAATGACAGGCTCAAAATCCCATCCTGCCACCCACTCACTGTGTGTCCCCAGGCAAGTTCCTCAACCTCTCTGGGCCTCAGCTTCTTCATCTGTAAGATAGAAGAACCTAACAACCACCTTACAGGGCTGTTTTGAGGTTGGAATAATGCAAGCAAAGCACTCAGTCTGGCACCTGGCATCTAGTAGGTGCTCAATAAAAATCTGCACCCAGAATGATTTGGGATCCTGTGTCCTGGGAAGACAATTCTGCCCATCTCCAGTGAAAAGCTGGCAGTCAGGATGCTGATCAGGTTCTGGTGCTCACACACATCTGGCCCACTGATGAATGAAAGAGGTAATTCACCCCAGGCCTGAGAGCTAGAGCTCCCTCCCACGGTCGCTGGAGAGGAGGCAGAGAACCAGGGGACGCTGACACCCTCATCAGCTCCTGTCTTCAGCTGAACAGAGCTGTCTCTTGGTTATAGAGTTGGCCAATCAAAACAGCACAGAGATGGGAGAAGCAGACCCCTGATTTGTCCAGGGACGCTGGAGCAAGCCAAAGCAAATCTTATTTGCTACTAAGTAGCAGAGTGACCCCAAGGAAGCCACTTCCCTGCTCTGTGACTCAGTTTCCTCATCTGTAAAATAGTGGCAGTAATACCTCATGGTCACACGGTTGTGGTGTCAATTCAGCGAGTTCTCATCCCTAAGACACTACACAGGCTCCTGGCACCATGAGGTGCCTAATAAATGCGAGGGAGCATGCTTTCCACCCTCACTGGCCAGACTGCTGGGAACCCGGCCTCCCAGAAAAGTCTTTTTCCAGTGAACTGAGGAGGGAATCAGGGCCATGGAGGAGAAGCCAAGTCCATTTGTCTAAAGATAGGACTGTGTCACCGCCAAAGTCAACACAGAGGAAAGTCAGAACTTGTAGCTTTCAGGAAACATTCCCTCATCCATCCGGGCGATACCAGGAGTGATCTTTGGAAGGGTCTGGAGAACCCGCAGAGCCAGACTTTTGTCCTGGATGCAGAAACCTCACGGATGGGCAAGTGCAAGGCGGAGGCCAGGGAGTGGTGGGGAGGTGGGGGGCTCCGGCTAGGCTTGGCCTGGGTGTTCACGATCCTGAGACGGACAACAGCTCTGGTGCCTGCTCGGCCGCCCAGTTCTCCAGACACGGTCCCCGTGTTAAAGAGAGAGGCAGTCAACGGAGAACCAGGCAGCGTGCTGCACCCCATTGTGTGTGAGTGCCGAGCAGATAATTAAGTCTTAGCCTGCCTATGCTAATTATCACATGCGTCAGAGACTCTCAGAGTTTCTCCTTTCTCGGCTACAGTTATTGTATTAACTGCTAAATCCATCCTTCTTTGTTTCTCATTCTCATTCAAAGACCAGAATTTAGCATTTTCTTCTTGCTCCCCATCCCTGGGGGCTCTGAGCCCTGAACATTTCTGGGGTGTCTGTGGATGGTTATGAAAGTTCCAGGGCTCAGAGGGGGACCCTGCAAGTGGAGAATGGAGAATATGGGGAGCTCCAGGCAGGAGAGCACAGAGAGCTTTCCAGATAGTTTTACTGGAACCACAACGCAGGTGGCCACAAAGCTGGGGAAGGACCCTGAGGCCAGCTTTTTGTCTCCACTGCCTTTGAGAGCCCTTAGGTGAGACGGGAAGGGAAGAGGTGGAAAAGGAAAGATTGTTGATCTAGGAATTCTATTCTCATCCTCATCTCTCATTTGCTGTGTGACTTCAAGCAAGTCCCTCCCTGTCTCTGGGCCTCAGTTTCCCGAGGACAACACCCACTCCCAACTACAGCCAAACACAGAGAAATGGAGCAAAACATACCTCAGGTCCAGGGGGCCCAGGAAACCCAAGAGATCCTTTGTCTCCAACTTTGCCCTGTGGAAGAGAACAGATTATGGGGAAGGTGAAGGCCCCGCCTTCCACCAGGCCCCCGCATTATCCCCCAGCTGTGGGTGGTTGGAATGGTCAGGTGTGTGTGAATGAAATCTGCCTGGACAACTAGAAGGAGCCATTGTTCAAACTCCACCTCCTGCACTTATTCACCTGGGACCCTGGGATATTCACTTCACCCTTCAGAATCTCAGTTTCCTCATCTATAAAATGGGAGCAATAATAATTCCCTAACTCCTGGGATTGCTGGCAGCTTTCCAAGAAACAGTACGCAAAGGGTCTGATGCACAGGAACACTCACTAAATGACCCCACCACTGTTATTAATAACATCACTATTGTTTACAAGGCATCTGGAGCCCTGGATTCCCGTCAGAGCTCTGTCAGTGAATGAGGCCTGTCTGTGATGCTGGGTGAGTTACTGTCCCTCTGGGCCTCAGTGTCCTCATCTGGAAAATGGGCAAATTGCCATTCCTGCCCTATTCTGCTCACCCCCAGGGCCGCTGCAGGAGGAAGTGAGGTCCTGAATGTGAAAGTGTCCCCAGCCACATTCCATAACCAGTTGGAGACTGTGAGGTTTGGGGCTGTCAGAGGAGAAGATACTTACCGGAGGCCCTGGCTTCCCCCGTGCACCTGGGGACCCTGGCAACCCCTGACTCCCCTGGAAAAGACCCAGAGCAGCTTGGGGTTAGTGAGGAACAGAAATGGCCAGGTGAACACTGCTTGGTCCTCCCTGCTGGCCTGAGGCCTGGAGAATGCCCACGTTTGAGGAGGATGAGCTTCTCCTGTGTTTTCCCTGCAGGCTCCTGCTTGGATCACACGTGCTTGGCACCCCTGTAGGCTGGGCCCCAGCAATGCTAAGGTGAAGCTGTAGTCCCCGCCCAAGCGGCATGGGAGTGGCCTTTATGCCTAGGGGACTCCAGAGCTGGGGCCCAGCAGGAGAAGCAGCCAGGCCTGTGTGGCTCACAACTGGGAGACACCGGGAAGCTGAGTCAGGACAGGCCAGAGAGGAGTGAGGGAGGAGGAAGAAGGAGAGCTGGCCAACATCTGGGCCTCATTGACTGGCTGGGAGAGGTCCAGATGTGGCCACATGGTGCTGGACACACGCAAAGAGGAGCCGGTCTTGGCAGGCCCAAGGCTGGGCTCTGAAGTCAAGGCCACCTCGGTTCATCCCCTTGGTCAATCTGTCAGTAAGGCCCGTTACTCCCTCCCTCCTTCAAACTTGTCCTAAATATTCACTGTTAAGTGCAGGACCCTGAGCCATGCTCCATCAGAGCAGTCTGGGGCCCTGTCCTCAGGGAACTGTCTGGCAGGGGGCTGAGTACAAGTCCCCCAAAACCAGGGGAGAAGGGTGGTACCACAAGTGAGGACAGATGTGCTGCTCAGGGCACTCAGAGAGGAAAACGGTCCCTTTCTGAGAAGGTGGGAAAATGGCCCCTGAGCAGGGTGGTGCAGAGGCTGCGAGGGGTCTGCTCCAGGCGGAGGGTGTTCCAGGTGGGGCAGCGGTGGGCACAAAGGCCTGAGGCACAGGGGACAGGTCTGTGGGGTTGGAGCACAGGACTGTGGAGGGAGGGGCAGGAGAGTGTTAGAGGAACCCGCTAATGGGGGTCCTGAGGGCCTGGGTGGGGAGCCAGGACTTCACCCTGGGAGCAGTAGGGAGCCACGGATGGTGTGTGAGCAGAGCAGAGCTGTGCCCCCAGAAGAGCCTGGTGGCAGTGAGGAAGACGGAAGGAAGAGGCTGGGGGACTGGAAATAAGTCAGGAGGCCACTGAAAAGTGCAGGGAAGAGGTGATGAGAGGGTGGACCAAGGAGAAGATCGGATTCTTTGAAAGGAAGCCATCTCACAGGTGGGGCTGGCCCGTGATGCGCCCTGGGAAAGAAGCCAGGACCAGAACAGGGAAAGGGGTGGGTGGAGGGGAGAGTCTGGTGCAATTACCTTGTCTCCTTGGAATCCAGGATCTCCTGACACACCTGGAACCCCTTGTTCACCCTGAGTACACATCAGCAAAGAAGGTTACGATGGAGACCGTGTGGCTCCAGAAGCCTCCCCCACATCCAGACCCACTGGCAAGGTACAGCTTTGCTGAGGCTGTTCCCAAAGTTGGACCTGACGGGTGGCACACTGTTAGAGTGAAGGACAGGCCACCCAGGAGGGAAGGCAGGCCCTGGAGGGGCACACACTGGCCTGTGTGCAGACCTACCAGGAGTTGCTGAGATGGCTGAACATGCCACTAACAGAGGCTAACCTGTCCAGTGCCACCTGCCTTTCCTGGAGAACAGACACTTGCAGAGAAAGAGAACTGTCTGTTGATCCTTCAACCTCTTCATCATCAACTAATGTTGTCACACAGTGAGGAGGGTGGCCTGTACAATGGACTCCACCCCTGGCTTCTGAGTGTATCTGCCATTGGATACTTTCACCACCACGCTGTGAGCTGTCACTTCGTCCTTCTGTGGGGGTTTCTGTGCCAGCCACCACCTTCAGTCTAAGTCTAATTATCTGCTTTTAACCAGCTATACAGCATGAGAAACCAGATTGCCTGGCTTATTAAGACTGTGTGCAAACAGCAAGTAAACTGGTCTTGACTTAGGTCTGGATGTTTCTTTTCTAAGACTACGTATTGCATAGGCTTGGGGACTCTGATTCTGGCCTGTGGAGGCCTCTTCTGGTCCCTCCCTGTTTTCGGCCATGTGCTGGTAAATGAGCTGTCACAGACCAGATTGGGAGATGTTTCCCCTCAGGGCTGGAACCATGCCACACAGCCCTCACCATTCCCAGCCTTCCATGGTGGGCATGACTGACAGTCCGTGAGCCCCAGGACTCAGAAAACATTCACAGTCCTGGGAGCAGGAGGAAGAATGGAGAGAAAAACCCAGGAGAATCACGTTGTACAGCTAAGGCCATGACCCAGCAGAAGAACTTCCTTGGTAAAACAAAAACCAAAATTTAAAAAAAAAAAAAGTTTTTGAACTTACTTTGGTTTTTCCAATTTGGAAAATCCTGTACAATATCCTGAAGTTTGGGGAACCAAGGAACTTTTTTTTTTTTTTTTTAGATATTCAAAGAAGAAGTGACAGAGTAAAAAAATAAAACAGGAAAAAATGAAAGTTTAAAATGCTCCTAGGAAATCAGCACAATGGATTGGGAGAGAGCTGGGACTGGAGCAGGAGCCCTGGTTCCAGAATGTGCTTCCACGCTGCGAGAGCAAGCCAAGTGGTTGTAGGTGGGATGGAGGCCAGACTGGGTCATGGAAAATCTGGGATTCTAGGATGGAGCAACCACAGAACATGAAGGGATGGCACTGTCATCCCAGGGGGCAGGCGGGGTGTGTGTGTGTGTGCGTGCGTGTGTGTGTGTAGGGGTGTGTGTGTGTGTAGGGTGTGTGTGTGTGTGTGTGTAGGGTGTGTGTGTGTGTAGGGGTGTGTGTGTGTAGGGGTGTGTGTGTGTGTGTGTGTGTGTATGTGTGTTCAGAACAAAAGGTTAAGACCCCTCCCCACCAAAGCTTTCTTTCCTTCTTTTTTTTTTTTTTTTTTTTTTTGCCCCAAAGACATATCTGATTTTCCTGAAACTAGGGGCAGGAAAATAATTCCCCCCCCCTTTTTTTTTCCAGAGCTTTCACGTTTCTAAATGTCCCAGGCAGTGCCCATCAGCCAGCCAGCCGAGTTCTATGTAACACATTTATTTCCATGTTCCTGAAGCAACAGTGAGCAGAGGCCAGCTCTGCAAAGGGGCCTATAAAAAGCTTACTGCTCACACTCCCATTTTCCCCAACTTCCTCTCTCTTTTGTCCATGACTTCAACATTTCCAGAGCGCTGATGTCTGAAGCCTCAGGATAAACAGGTAGGTGCAGGGAACCCCTGCCTCCAACAGAAAGCCCCTTCATCTAGAGAGGGAGGACCCGGGAAGATGGGCTTAGCAGGCAGCAGGACAGAGCTGGGGCTGGAGGATAGCTTGAGTGGGAGAGGCAGAGATGGGCTGCAGCTGGTGGCTGGGGCATGAACAGGAGGAGACAGAAGAGGTGGAAGCAGGTAGAGAAAGGACTGGGGTTAGCACTGCACCGGCTGGCCCCCAAGAGGTGGTGCTGTGTAAATCAATTTGGGTGTGTCCATTTTCACCCAGCAATTCTAGTTGTCTGAGTCCGGGGGCCTGATTTGGTTCTTCCCATAAATCACCAAGTCTCCTTTGATGAGTGTCTTCCCTTTTGGGTCTCAGTTTCCCCAGCTGTGTCAGCACCACACTCACCCAGTGTTTTTTTTTTTCAAAAGATGACCGGTAAGGGGATCTTAACCCTTGACTTGGTATTGTCAGCACCACGCTCACCCAGTGAGCAACCAGCCATCCCTATATGGGATCCGAACCCGTGGCCTTGGTGTTATCATCACCGCACTCTCCCGAGTGAGCCACGGGCTGGCCCATCAGTTTCCCCAGCTGTGAAATGTAGGCACTGGAGGAGGTGACCTCCCAGAACCATGTCAGCTCTGAACTTCTGACCTCAGCTCTGCTTCATGGTGGAAGTCTCTGGAGCCACGTGCCTGAGTTGGAATCCTGTCCCTCTTCTTACCAGCCATGTGGCCTCGGGCAAGTTTCTTATCTCACAGGGGTAGGAGGATTGATGGGTTAATCCATCAGTCCACGTAGAGCACTCATGCCTAGCACATGATACCTGTTGCTATGACTCAGGTGTAGCAGGGGGAAGAGTCACCTGATGACGCGTGTGTGACTATGGAAGCAGCTGAGTAGCCATCACCCCCTCAGATCTCTGGTGGACACATGGAATGCTGCCAGGAAGCCCTCCCACACCCTCATGGGGTCCCTGGTTTGCTAAGAGACAGAGCACGGAGGGCAGGAAGTTGGCCACAGGCAGAGCATAGGGAGGGCTGAGCCCCCGTGTCACTGTCATTCAGATGCTGTCCCAAGTCCTTCTGCCCACCACCACTCTGATCTGGCATTGGGTGAGAGAGTGAGAGTCTAGAGCAGGGCTGTACAGAGGACACAGGATGAGGGGGGCCTCCTCCTGTGGCAGCTGGAGGGGAAGTGGGTCAGGGGCTCAGAGACCTGTCCTGGATTTCCCACGGCATTTTCAGGGCTTGAGCTCCCAATTCCTAGCCATGATGGTTTATGTGCATTTGCTTCCTCCTGTGCCACCCTCCATGCTCCGTGGACCTGCCCTCAAAGCCTAGACCTGGCCTCAGCTCTGCTGTCTGGATTCGGAGACCTACTTTGACTCACCTGCCCTCTCACCTTGATAGCCCCCCACGCTCTATCTGCCAAGGTCTGCAGGCCCTGGGACTATCTTTCTGAGCCCCACCCATAGTGAGCAGGAGGAAACTGGGGGGCACAGATGCACGAGCAGGGGCCAGAGGGGAGGCAGGCAGAAGGCAGGGGAGTGGACCTGGCCAGACACCAGCAGCAGCCTCCAGGCGGAGAGGGGGTGGCATGCAGATAAACCACAGTGCAATAAGGGAGTATTCAGATCACCTTATCACCTTTCAGTCCGGGCTCCCCCACGCTGCCCATCAGTCCCTGCAAGACAAAGGCCCGAGGCCAGCTGTGAGGGGGACTCCAAACCACAGAAGTCAGGAGCCCTGGCTTAAACCCACCAACCGGCTGCAAGACCCCTGCTAGACCCCCCAACCCCCGGCTCAGTGCTTTCATCTGTAAAAGGGGACAATGACTCCCAGGTCACAGGCAAGGGTGTGGATTGAAGGAACTGTGAGAAGGGGCAGTTGACTAGAGAACCACAGCACTGAGGACAAATCCAGAGAAGAGGCACTGATGGGGATGGAAGGGCTTAATGAGCAGTGTCACATGCACGTTGGCCAAATTGGGTCATTCCCTGAACGTGGTCCTAGCAGTTTCACCCTGTCCTTCTGCTCCTTCTCTGGAATAAACCAATTTCACTGGTTTCCCACTATAGTTTCTATGGCCCTGGCAATGTCCCTCAGTGGATTTACAGTGCCCTGAGGCCCGGAAGTATGTTGGACTCATGATCAGCTTGAGGACTGCTGTCCAACAACGATGTCTGGCCTAAATGACAGACAGATGATGACTGGCCCTCAGGCCAGAGAAGAACTAGCTCCTGACCCTTCCAGCTTCTGGCCCCGCACCCCTGCGAGCATCCGCCTGTCCGCCCCTCCCCAACAGCCTCCTTCTTACTGGGCTGAAATGGGCCAGCGGGTGCCCATCTGGGACAAGGCCTGAATTAGGGGGCAGCCCCCATTTACCTTCATGCCCTTGGGTCCTGGGTAGCCAATCGGACCCAACGCTCCCATGTCACCCTGGGAAGAGAAAGAGAAGAAGACACCATGAGGGGTGCCCCACAGGCCGACCTGGGAGGGATGATTCCCAAGGTCCCTGAGGCTGGGCTTTCCAGGTCCCAGTCCTACTGGATTGATGTTGGAATTAGGAATGTTCCTCATTCTGTTTATCTCCACTAAAGTGCTGGAATAAATTTCACTAGATCCCTTCATAAGTTCATTTCTTCTTTGCTGCCCCTCCCCCATCACCACGTCCTTCTATCCCATAAATACGAGATACTTTTATCCTGTATTAGATTCTTTACATCCCATTCCAGCTAAGGGATTCGGGGCCTTTCATTTGACTTCTTTGGACCTCAGTCTCACTCTTTATAAAGTAGGGACAATAATGCCTCCCCCCAGAGCTGCTGCAAGAGTTAAATGCAGCATAAAGAGGAGCTAGCTTTGATTCTTCTAGCCAAGGAAGGGGAGGCATTTCTTGCATCCGAGAACCTCGGCCATCTCCTTGGGAGAGCAGCTAATAAGGAGTGGGCTGTCAATCCCAGAAGCCCCAGAGTTGGAGACGGACACAGTAGGACACTAAGATCAACTGGTAGACCCTGGACCTACCACAGGTTGGAGACCCAGGTTCAGATCAGATTAGACTGTCCAAGGCAGGAACAGCAGAGCTGCTAGACCTGGAAAGCCAAGTTCCCTTCACACGTGCCTTCAGTGAGAGGCCTCAGTGCACGTCAGAGTCACAACACCTGGTCTCACTCTCCTCTGAGACTTACTCATTGTGTGATTTGGGGGCACTTAATCTCCCCACGCCTCAGTTTCCTCACGTAACAAATAGGAATTAACATTGCTATGTACCTCCTAGCGCTGTTTCAAGGAGTAACTGATTTAACATGTATCAATTCTGGGCAAAGTCTGGAGGCATTCTGGTTGTCACAATTTAAGGGGTGCTACTGGCATCTAGTGGGTGAAGGCCAGGGATGCTGCTAAACATCCTGCAATGCACAGGACAGCCCCCCAACAAATAATTATCCAGCCCAAAATGTCGATGATGCTGAGGTCAGGAAACTCTGGCCTAAAGGAGGGACTAAATTTCCCTTCAAAGCCCACCCTCTTTCTCTCAGATCTCTTCACTGTCCCACCCTATCACTACCGCCCTCAGCCATGGGCATAACATGAAGGCTGCATCCAGAAAAAGGGAGACCCAGAACATACTCTCTTCTCTCCCTTGTCCGTCCTCTGTAACTGACCTAAGTGACTGGCTGCTGTGTCGCCTCAACGCACTCAACCTCTCTGGGCCTCAGTTTCCCACTACCCCGCATCAGGAGGCCCCTGGCAAGAGCTGTAAGGTGGGGCACAGCTCAGAAGCACTGGAGGATCAGTGGCTGCCCCAGGTACCAGGCTCGAGAACGGGGACTCAAGTTCCTGCCAGAGCTGCCTGGAGACGTCTCAGAGGGAGGCCCAATGGAGAATGAGACACCCCGAGGCCTGTGCAGTGAAACGCCCCTGAGGAGAGGCGGGGAAGGCAGGACTTCACAGACGGCAGCCGGGCCTGGCTGAGGCGATGCCGATTCTCCCTCCCCACTACCAGAATGACTGGAGTCCGACCTCGGCCCTGTCAGGGACTGGCTGTGTGATCTGGGCAAATACTTGCCCTCTCTGGACTTCAAAACCTCTTAGTTGAGTCTTGGCTAAGAAATTCTGCTTTCAGTTCCATCAAGTGGTCTTCTCTGAGAAGACGAGGACTCAGTTTACCAGGGGATGACAATACTGCAAACGACGCCAGCGCTGGGCACCGCGCTAAGCACTTGACAGGCCTCAGCTTGGCTATTCCTCAGGACAGGCCTTAAAGATAAGTTCTATTCCCATTTTATAGATGAGAGAATGTAGGCTCTGAGAGGTGAGGGCTTGGGCAGAGTCACAGCCCTTCACCTGAGACAGGCTGTCTCCAGAGCTTCTAGGCAGTTCTGAGGTAGTCTTTGGAGAGGAGGGAGAGAACTGCCCAGGGCGAGGCTGGAGCCAGAGGAAAAGCCAGCCTTTCTGAGAGTTGCCTTTCCACAGGCCCCTCTGGCCATGGCTTCTCTCCCCATCTCTCTTCCTGGATGAAAGAGCCAGGGGTGGCCCGCCCAGAGTTCCCCGTGGTGCACAAATAAATAGAGCGGGCAGGCTGTGCTGGGGGAGGCTGCTCCAACTGGGCCCGGGCCGCGGGCAGAGGACCAGCCAGCAGCTCCAGGAACACGGCTCGCTCTTCCTCACGCCAGGCCCGAAGCCGGCTTGTTGTGTGGGGACTGAACGCTGCACATGCCGGATGACAGCAACGCAGCCCCACACCCCACAGGGCCCACTCACTGCCTCTGCAGGCCTCTCTAGAGGGGCCTGTGTGTGGTGGGGGCCGGGACCTGGTGTGGACATCCAACCCCAAGGGGGAAGGAATCCCGGAAAAGGGACACTGGCTGCAGGGCACACCTGGGGATAGTGGAGACTTGTGTGGGGTAGGGCTTCCCTGTGTCAGGAGGCCCCCAGACTGGGCTATAAAAGCATTTGGGGGAGGAACAGAGAAAACGTCAGGCCACCACTCCTTGCAGAGCAGTGGAGCCCCTGTACAGATTGCAGAGCATCTGTCTGCTGAGCGTGAGACACTCTCAAGGAAGCTTGGCCAGAGACACACAGAATGTCGTGTCCCCACAAGGAAGAACAGTAAGTAACGTCCTTAATTTGGATCCTGTTTCCACTTTTCTCTAGGCTCGCAGGCACCATGCTACACGATTTGCCTTCATCTCGCTGACTCCCACCAAGAAGACGATCAGCAGCATCCGCCACCATTTAAAGAGCCCCTGCTGTGTGCCACACACCGTGCTAGCCACTACAAACCCTTGTTAACAACAGCTGCTGAATGTTACTTGGGCGCTTATGCCATGCCAGGGATGGTGACAGCAGCTCGGACACTCACAGCTGCTCGTGGGAACTCCATGAGGTCAGCACCACTGTCGGTCCTATTCCATTCTATAGATGAGAAAACTGAAGCTTAGAGAGAGGGGAAGTCACCTGCCCAAGATTGATCAAGTAGGGAGCAGAGGCAGGACCAGAACCCAGGTCTGTCTGTCTGAGCACAGTCCACACTCACATGCCCGGGTTGACAGTTGACTCCAGTTAAGGACTCGAGCTCGCTTTCCTTATTGCTGTCACTCACACATGACAAGGTGTGAGGACAGGCTTGAGATTCAGAAACAGGTGTGAGTCCTGCTCCCCCAAATGCCTGCAGCTGTCCAGGCTGTGATTTGCTAGGGGCCCCTGGAGGAAAACCTGGGGTGCTGGCAGGGCCTCCCTCACACATGGCTAACCTTCCCTCCCTGCCATTCCTCTCTAGCTGTGACATACTCAGCCACTGGCGCACCCCCAGACCCTGGCTCAAGCTGTTTCCTATACCTGGAGTACTCCGCTGCCACTCACATTAACATCCATTTGTGCTTCGGTCCCCAGTGCCAAGAAGACTTCCCTGACCCCAGAGCCCAGGTGGTACCCCTGCTCTCAGGTCTAGACTCCGTGCCTTTCACTCGTGGCCCTTCCCACACTGACCGTCATTTAGGTGAGTGCCTATGGGGCCACCGCCTGTCCGGCCACCAGACCAAGGACCTCAGTTCTGTGATCCTGGCACAAAGCATAGCCCCTAGGGGATGCTTGATAAAAGTGGCTTAACAAATGGTGGAAAGAAACCTGCACTATCTCATGTACAAGCCCTCGAAGCAACTGCCTGTGATGGTGAGAATGCCAGGCAGATTAGGGGCGGGGCCCTGGGGGCTGTGGCCAGTCTCGGCTCCTGTGTGGTCTTACTAAACACCATCTCTCACACCACAATGGCCCCTGGCACTGCCCAGTCCATGCTCTCACACATCCGTTGTCAGCTCAGCACAGAGGTCTTGCAGAGCTGGCAATATGGTGCAGCAGGGAAGAGCGTGAGCTGTGGAGACAGGCCCGGGTCTACCTTACTGGCTGTGTGACCTTGGGCAGGTGCTTCACCCTCTCTGAGACTCAGTTTCCTTAACTGTAAAATGGTGATCCCACTCCCTACTCTCAGAGGGCTGTTGTGACAATGAAATACTTAACTCTGGGTCAGGCACAAGAGGGTTTGGTAAATGTCAGCTAGTAGCTGACCTTGCTTTTTAGAGGAAGAAACAAAGACAGAAGATCATTCAGTGACAGAATATGGTGGACTAGTCCACTGTACACCCCATGCTGGGTGTTTGGCTGTCTCACATGTTCTTTGAGTCTCATTAAATGGAGGAACCAAAATTCCCTCTGTGTCACTCTGAACAAAAAAGACAGAAATGGTCTTTGTTGAGCAAATTCTGGAAGCAGGCACAGTTTTCTTGAGGGCCAGCCAAAGGGTTTCAATTACTCAAAGGGGGCTGTTTTGAGGCACTCTCACCTCCGAGGCTGGAAGGGGCCACTGGCAGTTTATTGGGATTGGGGACACACAGGACTGGGTTACAAGTCTGTCCCTTCCACTTCCTAGCTGGCGACCTCAGGCGTGGTGAGGCTTCCACAGCCTGATGCATGTCAAGCACACACACAGCAGACAGACGCTCAATAAATGTTAGTCTGTCCTCTCTCGCCCTTCCTCCCGGCTGCAAGGACCCGGGGGACAGGGGGAAGGCTCGGCTTCAGTCTGCATGCAAATTGCTCCAGCTGACTAGACAGAAGGCATTGAATAAATTTGAATCTCCACTGACATGATTATCAATACATGGAATTCCCATTTGCTCAGCTAAAAACCCACATCCTCTGGAAAACCATAGGTGACTCACGATCCCTCTTCCTCTTTAACTCCTGGTTAGAAAATTTCTTTCTTTTCCAATTCTTTGGGGAAACTAACTTTTTCCCAGGCACAGAAACTGCTGTTCCCAAAATTCCAGGGTGGGCAGGGGTACTGGTTTGGGGAGCAGTGGTGACTTGGTGGGCTCAGGGCCAGCCTGTGACCGCCAGGGACAAGGAGAGAGGGAACTTCACCTTGGCAGTGAAGGGAATCTAAAAATGGGAGAAATGAGGCTGAAAGTGGCCAGAGAAAAATACGGGGCAAGAGGGAGGAACAGGCAGAACAGATCAGCTCGCTGGGAAGAGGCAATGCCCCACGGGCACAGGGTCTGAGAAATGCAGGAATGCCAGGAGCTCTGCCCCCCGCTCAGGCCCCTCAGAAGGGGGCAGGACAGGACCGTCCTGGACTAGGAGTCGGGAGTTATGGCCTCCCACCAGGACTCCATCCTCTCCTGCCTGCATGTGACCTTGACCAAGGGCTTCAGTTTTTCCATCTGCCAAATGGGATTCTCCTAAGAGACGCTGTGAATTAGGGTTGCAAGACTGGACAAATAAAAAGACAGGATGCCCAGTTAAATCTGAATGTCAGATAAACAATGAATGATATTTTAGTATAAATGTGTTCTAACTATTGCATCTGACATTCAGATTCCACTGGGCATCCTGTCTTTCATCCAGCAACCCTAACTATGGAGCACAGAGGAGAGCACAGATACGAAAGAGCTCTGTGCAGAACCAGGAAGCCAAGGGCTGTGATGGCAAAGGCTGGTCTCCAGAATCTGTGTTTATTCAGCCAGGCGACTTTCTTGTCCCTCTCAGGACCAAAACTGGTGGACATTGGGACAATGACAAATAGGAACATGTACCAAGGATGACAGCCAGGATATGTAAACATCCCTTCAGAAAAGCTGTGGGGACTGGGATTGTTTAGCTTACAGAAGGAGTCTTGGGAGGAACAGACAACAGCCACCTTTACACCTCCAACAGCTTCTGCCAGGGACAGCAAGGATGATTTGGGCACAATACACAGGAAAACATTGAACAATGAGAGCTCTGTCAAACAAACTGGGCTCCAGAGAGGAAGGGAGTTTCTGACACCAGAAGTGTTCAAATTGGAATTTAATGACTATATGACCAAGATGCTCCAGAAAGGATTCCTGCTGGGCTTAGAGAGGACTGGATTAGAAGACTTCTAGAGAGTTCTCTAACTGTCATTGCAGATATTTCTTTTTTAAAAGCATCTAGGTCAGCTCCTTGTGCCAAAGAAGGTGCCTGCAAAGTCCTGTTGAATGGACATCAGGGATGACAAATGTATGACTCATGTGTCGACACTTCCTAATCCCCAGCCAAGGCAGACATTGCTAATCAATTGCAACACCCTCTCCCACTGCGTTCCAATGTGACTTTGAAATCTTTCTCAGTTCAGCAATTCAGATAGCTGCTACCACACATAAAATACCATATGTGTGTGTAATATAATAAAATAATGATAAAACAAGCTATAATTATTATAACTAATCCTTCTTGAGTGCTTACTATGTACTAGGCATGTCATATGTATTAGTTTATTTAAATCCTCACAACCATCCTCCAACTTAGGCACTCATATTATCCCCATTTTACAGATGAAGAAATTGAGGCACAGGGAGGTTAAGAAATTTGATCAGGATTTCAATTAAATGAGTGGTAGAGTTAGGATTTGAACCCAGGCGGTCCAGTTCCAGGGATTGCCCTCTTATCACTGGACTGGACTAGACTGTGTGTACCTGTGGCTCTAACAAGAATGGGTACAATGTCCCATTTTATAGAAAGGGTCCCTAAGGCTCAAGGAAGTGAAGCCATAACTAAAGTTCACAAGCCAGGAGGTGACAAGGACAAGATTCGGACTCAGGTTGATGTGACTTTGTACCCCTCTTCATCCTGGCCCTGCTCCCACCCACCTGAGCAGGAGCAGATTGCCACTGGGGGCCTCTGGATCTTCCGACCAGGACTGGCCTCCCTTGAGTAAAGGGGTCCCCCAACTCCCTCTGGGGCTTTCTCCAGCCTCCCTCTGAGTGGAAGTTCTTGGCACACTTGCTGGAGTGGCAAAGTTGGGAGCCCATTTGTCAAGCTAGGGGACAGTCTACTTGTGTCCCTCGATGGCCCCTCAGACTCAAACCATATGAGGAATGACCCACAGGACAGAGCGGTGGGGAGGGTGCTCCTAGAGTCATTTCCTGGGCTCTAGCCTCTTACTGGACCTTGGATCCAAGCCCAAGGTCAAGACTCACCCCTTGAAGGTCCACCATCATGGGGCCCTGGTTTTGGCTAATAGAACCACTTGTCAAGGCCTACCCAACCTGGATGGAGTCAGAGGTCAGCTCATCTTCCTCTTCCCTGAGTACAGGCCTCTATCAGTCCTGGGCATTTCAGGAGGTAATAATAATAATTAATATAACAATATTTTCCACCAAGTGAGCATTTACCGAGTGCCAGATCCTGTGCCAAAGACTGTACATATGATGCCTCATTTAATACTCACAACCACTCCAAGAGGACTCTACTATCATCTCCATTTTACAGATGAGGAAACTAAGGCTCAGGAAGGGTAAGTGACTTAGCGCAGATCACACAGCCAGGATGTGGAAAACCTGGGACTTGAACCCAGGCAGTCTGGCTCCAAAGTCAATGCTTGACAAAAAGGGTAAAGAAGACTACCCAGCGTGACCAAGAGGCTCAGCTCCTCTGCCGGCCACCTCCTCCCTCGGGACCTGAAGCACTTCACCTGTTGAATGGGCATGCCATCACCTGCCCAGACCTCCCTTGCAGAGAGATGGACATGCAGCAGGTGAGAGAGCACACTGGCAGTCTCATGCTCCAAGTGCCCATTCCCATTTAACTAATGAGGAAACAGGCTCAGAGAAGGTAGGTGACCCACCTGAGGCCACACAGCAGGGCATTCCTCCCTTAGTCCCCTGTCTGTCCTGCTTCCCGGGCCCCTCCTGGGGTTTTTTAGCGAGGGGCCATTTCAACCTCCCCTGCAGGGCCTGTTGCTTGCTCCCAACACCCTGGCTCCACCCTGCCTCTATCCCTGGCCCCCCGCCCCCAGGCATCTGTGTACTTACAATGAGGCCGGGGACTCCTGGGGGCCCTGGCAGGCCCAATTCTCCCTGCAAATAGAGACCAAGGTGGTTACTTGCCCTGTCTTCCTCCAGGGCCCCTCCATCCATGCCATTCTGCATGAGGGCACCTAGCAGGATCTTTCAGAGCTGACCATTCTTTATTCCTGACCACAGACTCCTGTGACTTTCTTGAGCCTGGCCTGGAGTTTGGACCACACCCCTCCCCATCTGCCATCAGCTTTCCACATCTGTAAAATGGGGAGGCTGGACTTCCAAGCCCAATGTCGTCCAATTATAAGTATGACAGAACTGGTGGAATCCTGATCTTGGTAATAAAGATGTGCCAGGTGCTTGGCATTCTCACTTTACAATCAGGGAAACTGAGGCCTAAGAGGGTAAGTGATTTGCCAAGGTCAGGTGCAAGGAGATAACGCAGCCATGAGGACTCCCAGCTGAGAACCACCAGGCCAGCCTCCCTCCCTCTCTCAGCCAGAAGGGGCTGGGGCCCTTGGAGCGTCCTTCCCATCCCAGCTCTCAGGCTTCCTCCTTCCAGGGCTCCAAGATGCTAAAAGAGCTCTTGCCTGGAGTCAGGAGATAAGACTGTGTATGTGATTTACCCCCCTAAACCTCGGTTTCCTCATCGCTAAAAATGGATCTTCCATTGCTGCACAAGGAAAGACAAGTGGAGGGCTTTGGTTCAAGTTCAAAATGGAAAGGCGTGAATAAAAATAAGGAGCTCTAGAAATTGTGATTAGCAATGAGAATTGCCAACATCCCCCAGGGGGTTTGTCTTCCTTCATTGGTTCAATCCTGGGGCTGCCCAGACAGATGGGAGGTCATCTCTACAGCCACCCAGAAGGAAACAAGGAGCTAAGAAGCAGCCTTGGCTTTAAAATGAGGAAACTGAGGCTCAGCAAAGGGAAGCGACTTGTCCAAGGTCACTCAGCAACTTTGTGGCAGAGCTGAGACCAGACCATGAGTATAAAGCCATCCCTGCCCCTTCCCCAGGCAACTTCCAGGATGACATCGCATATTGTGAAGGCTAATCTAATAAGTGAGGTGTTGCTGGGAAGGCTGGGCTCTCTCCCTCCATGCCTTTGCTGGTGCTCCTTCCTCCACCTGGAGGAGAAACACCTCCTTCCTCCCTCCTCCACGGCACCTGGGACCTCTTTGATCCCACCCATCCCACTGCATCTTCTGCGATGTACTGGGGTGGTAGCCTGTAAGCGCCTCGAGGGCAGGGACTGTGCCCTGCTATTACCTGGTACTTTATATAGCTCCATCCACTGAACACTTGCAGTGACCTGAACACCTTCCCTCCCCTCATTTCATTCTCATGACAGACCTCTGAGGCTGGCCCCATTTACAGATAAGGAAACAGAGATTCAGAGAGGTGAACCAATTTGCCCAAGTTCACGTGCCTGGCAAGTAGCACAGCAGAATCCAAACCCAGGTCCATCTGGCTCTGGGGGCTTTAAACCCGAAGGTAGCCTGGCTGGGTCAGCCTTGGGGAACACTTGTGGAACTAAACTAGCATGGAATTGAGAGCTGATTATGGGTCCAATGGCACCTCTGCAGAGGGCACAGCTGGCTACCACTGCTCAGGCTGGAAGCCCCAAGGAGAGATGCGGACCATGGCAGGTGTTCCAAAGAGCTCTGGGTGTGTCTGCACTCCAGGCTGAGAACGAACACTTTCTCCCACAGGGCCTGGAGCCTGGGAGGGGAAGAGAAAGGCAGACTCAGCTCCCCAGGGCAGGCTGACCTGGCTCCTCCATTAACAGAGCTCAAGCCTCGAATTATTTACAAACTCTATAAACACGCCTGTAGTGGAAATTCCTCTGGAACTCAGCTCTTCTCTCCAAACAGGGCCTGCAAACCATTTGCTTTCTCAGGCCACTGCCGGCCCATAAACATTTCTGATGCTTTGTAAGATGGCAGCAACCAGAGCCTCTCCAGTGGGGAGTGACCTTCCTAAGTTGTGGGGATGGGGTGCAGCCTGGGGCTTTGGGCCCAGGGGCTCACTGGGCTGGGGACTCTCCTAGGGGGTCACAGGGCATCCATGGTAGACAGAAGCCTGGGGTTCAGAAAGGTCATGTAATTTGTCCAAGGACACCTAGTTAGGAGGTCATAGGGCTGGGATTTGACCCAGGTCTGTCTGACCCCAAAGCTTGGGCTCTAAAACCTGCTGTGCGTTCACTCTGAATCTCTTCTCTATTCCAAAAGACTTGAAATACTTACAGGGTTTCCATCCAGTCCTGGAGGGCCTCTTTCTCCAAAGTCTCCAGGAAATCCCTGAGAGAGAACAAACATCTGTAGGTTAGTGTTTATATCTGCAGGGTGGCTTTGATCCAGACCCCAGGGAACACAAGGACAATGTCCCCAAGCAGTCTCACTACTTGTTTCAGGGCAGGCAGTGGGGTCCTGAGGTTACCCCCTGCCCTCAACAAACACCCACACATAAAGAACTTCTCAGGGATAGGCTACCGTGGAGGGGCCATGGCCAGGGACCCCTCTTCTTTTCTACTCAGAGTCTCTGTAAAGAAAACAGTACCCAGTTCCCAGCATGGAAATGTCAACCCCCCAATCCAGGACCTGGTCCCAATGAAGTGAGAAGGACATTAACTGGGGTTGGGAAGCCAGGTCTAGGTCTGGACAAGCCACTGATTTGCTGAGAGTTTTAAGAGCATCCTCTTCCCCTGTGAGCCTCAGTTTCCCCACTGGACAAAGAGAAGAAGGCCTCTGTGGCATTTTCCAGCTCAGACCTTCTGTGATTGTGATGAATTCTTCAAAAACCACCCAGTGGAATCATAATCCCCATTTTACAGATAAATTAAGTGAGACTGAGAAGGGGTAAGTGGCAAGGTCACACAAGGTCACACCGCTGGGAAATGTTAGCACGGCCTCTACAGGTGCGTTTCGGGAGCTCAGAGGCTGAGCCACCCAGTCCAGGCAGCTCTGGCCCCCGCCCCTTCCCTGACCCCACTCTGGAGGCCACTCCACACTCTCTGGGGAGACAGGCAGCTGGAAAAACATCAGCTGTGGGGACACCTCCGGGGTCCAGGGGGAGAACTCCACTCCTACTTCAAAAGGAAAAGAAAGCCCTCAAATTTAGAATTTGGGGAAACCTATACTCCTCTTCTCCTTGAATTCAAATCATTGTTTTTCCAGGGAAATTGAATAAAAAACAAAGCACATGTTTTCCTGACCAAGTCCTGAGCTGCTCAAACAGTAAAGATATCCTCATGGAGGATAATCTTGGTTTGGGCTTCTAATACTGTTAGAGGAACCCAGCATGTAGATTCAACCAAAAAGACCAAGCCTCAAAACAAAACCCAAACCAATTGCAAAGTCTCTATTGGCTGAGCAAAACGACCTTGAAATGTGCATGTGTCAGGGCCTTTGGCTTTGGACTTGCCCTGGCCCGCAATTCTACTCCCTTCGAATCCTTCCTCTGTCAGGAAGCCCTTTTGGAACAGAAGGGTAGGGGTTGATGTTTAGCCCCCAGAAGATGTGGTTTCATTCAGACATCGAGAGGAGAAAATGAGGACCCAATAGATTTGAATCAAGCTGCCACTCTTACACACAAAACGTCACTTGCGTTTGACATCCGCCCTTGAGGGAAAGGCTCCACTTAAGAGATGGGGAAGTCGAGGCTCAGATGGGAAACGTCACTTGGCCAAGGCCATAAAGCCAGTTTGTGGCAGAGTTGAGCCCAAATCCCACCTCTCTGGAGTCTGATATGTTCATTTGAGCCATGCACAGGCAAAGCCTGGCATGTAGAAGCTGTGCCCGACTGGTTGCACAGGATGCAGAAAGATGTGTGTGTGCGTGTGTGTGTGTGTGTGTGTGTGTGTGTGTGTGTGTGTGTGTGAGTGCAGGCCCATCTCCAGCTCATGTCTTTGTGGGGGCACATCTGACCCTACCCAAGCTACCTCTCCGCACATCCTTGGGGTCTCGCCTGGCAAATTCTAGCCTCCCCTCAATCTGACCCCTCTTTGTCATGCTGTAAGGTAGAACCCCCTCACCTCCTGCAACAAGAGACATCAGCCCATTGGGCTGTGGTCAGGGGTGCTTCCTGAAGGCATGGACTTCCCACCTCTAACCTTTGGACGTTGGGGTGAAGGGGCCTGGCAGGAGAGGAGGGCAACTCCTCAGGGGACAAGGGGGATGCTGTCCAGCTGGGCACTTGCCTGACTCCATGTGGCCCACAAGGGGCAGGACTCGAGAAGTCCCTGCTTTGTTTTTCAAATCCAGTGTCTGGAGTCGGCCCACGGATTAGCCCTGGCTCTCCTCCAGGCTGGCTGCATGACCCTGGACCCTGGGTCCCGCTCAGGTTGAGGGTGTGTGATCTCTAAGGACCCTTTCAGCTTGGCCCAACGCCTAGACAAGGCGTGAGAAGGAGATTATTCCTTTGAGCACAGGAATATCACCAGCCTGGGGCAAGATGGAGACCTTAACAGTGTCCCCCTGCCCCCAGGCACCCATCTTGGCTGTGATTCCCAATATATTCACACCCAGCAGCCACCAGGCAGTTCTCAACCCCAGGGGTCTGCATTCAGAGGCTGGTTCAGGCTGGCTCAAGACCAGCAGCCAGGCCAGCCTCCCCCGTTCCAATCCTGGCTCCACCACCCATGGGCCTCTTTGCACCTCAGTTTCCCCTGCTGTACAGTGAGGAGCACTGTGAGGATGAACTGAGATGCCGCATAGAGGGGGAGCCCTTGCTGGCACATGGTAGGCAGCCATGTGAGGGCACATCTCTGAGGTATAAGCAGACTTATAAGAGACTGTCATCAGAATTTTGAGTCCAAATCCCAAAGGGAGTCACTTCTGCAGACAAAATCAGCCCAAGCATAGGCAGTGGAGGATAATGACACAATAAAAGAATGACGGTGACAGCAAACTCCAACAGTGTGACTTCCCAACAGCCTCATGAGATAGGTCCTACTATTGGCTCCATTTTAAAGGTGAGGAAACCGAGATTCAGTCACAGAGCTATGGAATAGCAGAGCTGGGATTTGAACCCAGGCAGTGTGACTCCAGAACCTGTTCTCTTAGCTAGGACTGGACTCTGAATAAAAAGAATGAACTATAGCAAGGCTGTGACTCCTCAAAGGGCTCATCAGCGCTCTCATCTAATGCACAATAAGAACTGGCATTAGTGATGCTGAGGACTGGTTCTGTCTGGATGTGCTAGGTGGCTTCAGTTACCCATCCCGGTCTCCATCTTCAGTCTCCCTTCCTATGGTGGGCTCAAGCAATGACCTCTAGCAATCTAGGGTTTGTAATTAAGAGCACAATGGTTGGGGAAAAAGCAGAGCTTTAAAAGTGCTGGAGCAAATCTTTGATTGGAACAATCAAGGATGGTCCAAGATGGAAGGACCCTCGATGTGCTTGACCTTCAGCACCTCACTGGACCAATGGAGAGACTGCACCCAGAACATGCCCAAGGCCCCGTCACTCTCTAGCTTGCCTCATCCCTCCACTACCAAGTGGCAGAGCTCATGTCCAGCAGCACCTCAAGGCCCCAATGCTTGGCCCCCTGGATCTCAGAGAAGTGGCCACCAAGCTGCACGTGTGGCCCCCACTTCTACCCTGTCCGCTTCCCTCTGTCTGGCTGCATCTGCTGGTGCAAAGCAACCACATGGCATGCACACCCAGCCCAGCCAGCACAGAGACCTCTCTCCGCAGGCCAGAGCTCCTGGCTGCAACAGGCTGGCCCGTGGCCCAAGGAATGAGCTCGACTTCCTGCCGGGGCCCCAAACACGTGGTTTCTCTCCATTTCCCCAGGTCGGGCCCCTCTGGGGAACTGAACGCCTCGTACTTGGAGCAAGAACAAGGCCCAGGAGGAGACAGAACAAGGTTCAGGGATGAGATGCCACATTCTCTCAGCTACAACTCAGAGGAATAGAGGTGAGGATAGGGACAGTCTTCATCACCACAGCAGGATGCAAACGGCTGAAGAGACCTGAAGGCCATCTCATCCACTCCCCCTCTTTCAGGCAGGGTCTACCCCAACTGTCTGGCTCCAGAGGGTGGGATATAGGAGCAGGGACACATGGAGCATCCAGAATAAAAAGCCTTGCTAAAGCCTCTAAGGCTCAACTCCCTGGCCTGCAAAATGGTCAGCCTTGCCCCACTCACCTGGGAGATGAGATGTTTATAATCCAGCCCCTGGCAAACTCTGATGTGCCATCACTATGCTAGTCAGGGTTTGCACCAACAGTGGGAATATTTAATAACCTCTAGGAGGAGCCCACAGGAGAATCCTGAAGACCTCTTTATGACATATAAATTGTCCAAGTCTGGAAGTTCCTGCACACATATAACCTGCATCCTTCCTACTGCAACTGAAGCAGCAAGTATTCTTTTCCAGGAGGTGTGTGAGTCTCAAATATGTTGACATGGAAAGACCCCTTGAGGTCCCCCAGCACTTTTTTCTCATGATGCTGAACATGTTTTTATCCTGCCCTTAGGAGGGTAAAAGTCCATTAGGAAATCCACCCAAGAAAAGTCACCTCAGGGAGCAAGGAAGTATAGGCAAGCAGAATTCTCACCAGGACTCCAGGGTCACCAACAGCCCTGGGACAGCTGTGGATCATGTCTAGGATGCTGGAAACCACGCCTCCAACTCTCAGGATCACCACAGCTAAGAACCTTAATCTGTTTGGGCCTCAGTTTCTCTACTTGAAAATATGAGTTCTCTGTCACTTGGCTCCCTGCTACTCACAATCTGAGAACTGGAAAGAGCCCAGAGCCTGAAGCCAAAATGCACCATGTTAGAAACCTTGTCCCAACCCAGACGGCTGTGATCTTGGGCAAGTCCCAATCATCCCTAAGTTGGAGCCAGGGCTGGGCCCTTCCAGCTCTAAGCTGTAGGATCTGCCCTCCTGCCTCCTACGTAAGACCAGCCTTGGCAGGCCCGGCCAGGAGCCACAAGAGAAGCTGTGAGTGGCAGCTAGCCTTGCCAGGCATGGCAGGGGCTTGACAGTGAATTCAGAATAGGAGGCAAGAGGATTCACTGCAGCATCTTGCCAGCCTCAGTGAGAGACCTTTGGCTGGGAGGCATGGCTCAGCCTCCCTCTGTGAGTGACACTGAGCAGTGCCCCGAACAAGCCAGGACAGCCCAGGAGAAACCCCTTCAGCTCCAGCCGGGTTGGTAACATCTTCTATCTGGAAACCTCAGCAAACCACAATGCGTTCTCATTCTAGCAGGAGATGCAAGGAGGGGCTGAGAGCTATAGACTAAGCTTTTCTTCGGAGGTTGAAGATGGGAGCAGAGAGAGAGGGAGCGATATGAAGAGCAACCCGTACTAGCAAGAAAGGGTCCTGGGTTCAGGTTTTGACTCTGCCACCAACTTGCTGTGTGACCTTGGGCAAGTTACTTGCCCTCCCTGCGCTATGTCTGCTTGCTTCTCTGTCTGACAAAGAGGTTGGGCCAGGCTGTCACTAAGGTTCCCACAGCTCTGATACACTTGTACCTTCACTGTCTCTTTCCCCCATCAGCAAGAGACTCTCACACATCCTTCTTCTGAGCTGGATACTGAGCAGTCCGCTATGTCTGCTTGCTTCTCTGTCTGACAAAGAGGTTGGGCCAGGCTGTCACTAAGGTTCCCACAGCTCTGATACACTTGTACCTTCACTGTGTCTTTCCCCCATCAGCAAGAGACTCTCACACATCCTTCTTCTGAGCTGGATACTGAGCAGTCCGCATGCATGGGCCCCAGGTTTTGTTTGCTGGGGAAAGATTGACTACAGCAAAAGGATCGCCAGCCCCACCAGAAACGAGGCCAACTGTGATCTGGCACGAGGGAGCTCAGCTCATTCTCCTGATGCTTCTCTTTCTTAGTAAGTGCCTAGAAATTGCCTGGTCCACAGCTTGGACAAGGAGGAAAAAACATTCACAGGAGAAGCCCCCAACACCACCAGGCAGATCAAGGGGTTGGGAGCACTGGCAACAGCAGGATGGCCCTAAAAAGCCCTCAGGGAGTGTGTGGGCCGAAGGGCGTGGCAGACTCAGAGGCCCAGCAGAGGCAGGGACAAAGCCACAGGGACCAGCCCTTATGAAGTCTTAGTACATAGTAAGTCACATCTGATGCAGACCTTGCTGATTCGCTGGCCATAGCAGCTGGACCAGAGTCAAGGGTATTTTCACGCTCTCAAGGGTATTGCGTGGGCTATTTGGCTGAAGAGGGTGTCTCCTCCCACCCACGTCTGACACCCAGTGCCAGGGAATGCCCCCGTCATGGGCTGGGTCTTTGGAAGTTAAAGGCGAGGAGCAAGGAAGCGGAGGGGGGTTGTCAGTGATGGGGGCTCAATTCTGGAGAGCATCGAGGGTCTCTGGGCAGGTGGCTGTGACAGTCTAAGCCTCAATTTCCTCATCTGGAAAACAGCGTAATCAATCTCACCTCCGAGGTTCACTGGGAGAATCAGGGTTCAAATGTCATATACACCAAGGGCCTCCATAAATGTTGCTTCCTTTCACTTAGAGGGGACTTAGGATCCCAGCCATACTCTCTTTAGGTTATTTATCCTATTTATGGATTGTCTCCACTCTTAAAACTGAAGCTCTATGACAACAGAGATTTTTGTCTGTTTTGGCTACAGTGCTGTCCCCAGTGCCTGGCATATAGTAGGTGCTCAGTACACTTTTGTTGAATAAGAAATGAGAGAGCGGTCTCCTCTCACACACAGATGGGTGCTGAGCACCCCAGACTGGTGCTTGACGGCCACAACCAAAGTGACTTTCAGCTCCAAGAAGAACCCAAGTACCATGGCAGGGAGAAAGAGACGAAGGGGCTGCTGGAAGGGGAAATGAGGAGGACGAAGGGACAACGGAGGCCCAGCCCTGTTCACACTCCTTGCTGGGACAGGTTGGAGAAGGATCATGCCCAGGGTTTCAGGATCTTGTCTCTTCCTCCCTCGGGAGACTCTGGAACCCATGCGCTGAACAGCTATGCTCTACGGCAGGAGGTGAGAGCTCTGGCTGTGTTCTAATCAATCTCTGACTCTCAGCAGCCACATGACCCTGGCCTGGTCATTCACCTCTCCCAGCCTCAACCTCCTCATCTGTCAAGCAGCAATGCCTGGCTTCTGTAAGGCTCTCAGGATGGAGTCTGTACAAATACCCCAAGGGTGGCTCTGGAGGTAGGCCTGGGTGCTGGGGCCAGGCCCAGCTGAGATAATCTAAGTCAACTGCCCCCCCCCACCCCCACACACAACTTAAAACTGCGGGAAACCAGACCCAGAGCAGGTAAAGCCATTGGTCTAAATTCACAGAATACAGAGAACCCCTTAGCCATCCAGCAAACTACAAATAGGAACAATGACTGCTACGTGACAAGCACAATGATTCCATAAGGTAGACACTAGTGTCCCCATTTCTCAGATGTGAACACTGCAGTTTGAACCCAGTACAGTCCAGCCCCAGGGCCTCTGCACCTGCTGCTACCTCAACCTGGAATGTTTTTCTCTGGAAAGCACACGGCTCCTGTCCTCACCCCATTCAGATTTCTCACGAATTGAGAAGGACTTCCTGGACCAACTTATCCAGCAGTCCACATTGGAAGCACTCGGGGTCCCATCCTACTCTCTCCTAGCATTCAGCACTATCTGAGACTCATTTAATCATTCGTTCTTCCATTTCCCCACTGTCTTTCCAGACTGTCTGTCTGTCTGCCCCATGAGAGTAAGAACTTTGTCTTATTCCCTGCTCTGCATCAAGCACAAGGCTTGGCCCATTGTGGATACTCAACAGATACTCACTGAATGACTGAATCTCCTTGCTCAAGACCACCTGGCTCGAGGGCAGACTGGGAGCCAACAGAGCTCTCCGATCCAGGTCTTCACCCTGAAGCCAGGAGCACAGGCACTGCCCGTTGCCTGCGTCTGGGTGTCAGGGTTAGACCTCAGAACACAGAGTGACTATCGGGCCACAGAGAAGTCTAGCTTTTGGGGGTGGGACGCCCTCTGTCAGCTCCTTGAGGCCAGCGGCTGACACTTCCTTTTCTTTGTAACCACACTCGGCCCCCAGAGGGCCCAGCTCACTACGCTGCACCAGGTTACACAACCGTCAGCCACAGAATCACAAAACACCCCCCACCAAATGCCCTCGAGTGCTCCTGGCCACCTCAGCAGTTCTCCCCTCCCCCACAGTCCCTTCTCCATCAACCACAAGCAATGGGAGGCCCAGATGCAGGGCTGACCATGGTTCCAAGTCTGGGAGTTAATCCGCTGGGCAGCAGCAGAGACAGCCTTGAGCCACCAATGGGGGCAAGGCCTGAAAGAAAGATGCCTCAGTTCCAGTCCTGGGTCTGCCTCGGCCTGGCAGAGGGACCCTGGACATATCACTCTGCCTCTTGGAGCCTCAGTTTCCCCTTCTGAATAATGAGATCATTGGAATGAATGGCTTTCCTTCCAGGCAAAGATTCTAGGGAATCTAATTTTACAGTATCACAGCCAAACAAGGATGCTGAGAGGCTGCCTCAAGCCACCACTGAGATCAGAGACCCTGGAGACAAACCAATCAAGGTAGAATCCTGGCTCTGTTGCTGATTCATGGTGAAACCCTGAGCAAGTTATTCCATCTCTGTGCCTTGGCTTTTTCTTCATGCCTTGCAGATGCCCAGACAAGAAGAAAAACCATTTCCTGCCTCGACGGAGAATCAGAGACAAAACTGGTAGACTGGGGGTCACTGCCGAGCTCCTCTCAGGGTCATGCCTGCTGGGGGCCCACACACCGCCCTGTCCTATGGCCTTGGGTGTGCACAGGCGAAACTGCACAGAGCCACATGACATAAGACAACATGGTGACTGAATGTTCTCTGAGACCACATCAGCTGCTCTAGCCAAGGTCCCCCAGTCCCAGATCGCCCACAGACACAAATACTGTAGCCAGAAGCCCTCCAGACAAAGAACTGCACTGAAGAGCAATTGCTGCACACAGGGAGAGAGGAGCCATCCCAGCAGAGCCCAGAGCCCACGGGAGCCCCAGCCCCAGCCCCAGCCCCAGCCAGGCAGCAGCCACTCAGCGCTCCAGCAGCAGGACTTGGGGCCCACACAGTCAAAGCAGAGCGGTGGCCGAGCAGAGAGAAGCGGAATACGCCAGGCCATGGGTGGACGGGGCAGCGTGGCCAGTGGGAAGTCAGGTTCACCCATAGAGTCTGCGTAATAGACACGGAAAATCTTTACCGGCCTACCCATCTTGCCCCTCTTGCCAGGAACGCCAGGCAGACCCTGTAGGGGGAGAGACAGGGAAGAGGTCAGGACAGGACTCCAGCAGGGGACAGCACGAATTGTCCCAAACCAGCACTAGAGCCACCCACAGGAGGGAGTCATAGAGGGCCTGGAATACCTGCCACATACACAGTGGCACCAGTTACACACACACACACCAGATGAACGGCCCTTGTACTCTGCAGGGTCAGGGTCTGCGTGGACCTATGCTAGGGAAATGAAAGTAGCCAGGGCTCCTGGCATTCAGCAGGTGCTTAATAAGTGCTCCTTCTCCTGCTTTCCCAAGATTGTCTAGGCCCAGCTTGTTGATAAGGTTCCAGTTGAGTTCCTAAATGTGGGTTCAGGCTGGGAGGTGGCAGAGAAAAAGGCCCCAAGGCCACCAGCCAAGGGATCCCAATGGACATCGAGGCTGGGCCAGGGGTCCATGGGCAGCTCCTGCCCCATCTCCCAAAATGCCCCTGACTTAGACATTTGATCTGGAACAACAGGGCCTCTAGAAGCTCTCAGCACCGCCTGCCTACTCCTAAACCTGACCCACAACCTTCTCCATCTTCATGGACTTCAGGACCCAAACCAGGGACCAGGTGCCCACCCCAGTCCCCTGTCCCTAATCCCCTGCGCCCACCCTCCAGCACCACTGCCTTCACCCAGATGCAGCCGCCACTATCCTGTCCTTGGACACCTGGTCTTCTGTCTCCAACCCCTCCCTCAACCCAGTCACATTTCACTCAAGTAAATGTACAAATCTGTCTAAAATGGGGATCATCAGAAGTTCTCCATAAAGGGACACATAGTGACTATTGTTGGCTCTGTGGGCCCTATGGTCTGTCACGACTATTCAACTCTGCCATTGTGGTGGGAAAGCAGCCACAGAAAACAGGTAAACAAATGAGCATGGCTGTGCTCAATAAAACTTTATTTACAAAAAACGACTGGCTGGATTTGGCCCATGGGCCATAGTTTGCAGACCCCTGATCTAGAATATAAAGTGGGCTCATTTCTCATTTGCTGAAAGCACTTGAGAGGCTCCCCTCAAGAGTCCCTTTCCTGATCTCAGTCCCTAGGTGCCCATATGACCTTGTCCCGGGGCCCCATAGCCGCATCTCTGGCCACTCTCACTCGCTCACTCAGTGCTGACGGGGTTGATTGTTCAACTTGCTGAGTTATCACACATCCCTGTCTTTGCTCATGCTCTTCCCTACGTCGGGAATGCACATGCCTTGACCTGTCCCCTCGGCAGACTCCTATTCAATCAAGGGCATCTCCTCCAGGAGGGATTTCAGGACTCCTCCAGGCTGGTGGTGCCTGGCAGGTTCTGCTTTGTTTGAGCAGAGGGGGTGGATGGAAGGGTGAGCTGCCAAAGGAGCATACTTACTCGCTCTCCGTCGGACCCTGGCAGGCCGAAGAGCCCTGGGAGTCCAATGTAGCCCTAGGAAAGAGCAGATGGGGGGTCAGAGAGGTCGACTGGGGGTGTGTGGCTGGCCCAACCATCCCAGCCCACCCTTCGCTGCCATCCCACGCCTGGCTCTTCTTCCTCGCTGGTGGCAGTGGCGGTTCCAGAGGCTCCTCGATGACATAAGCCTTGAGGCAAGTGTATATGCCCATGGACTGCATGGTGCTGGCTTCCACGATGTAGTCCAAAGGCACATACCCTCACGCCAGGGAAGGGCGCGGGCGCTCTCAGGTGGGAGGCCCGCCCCGCGCCAGGGGCTCCAGGACCTGCAGAAGGAAGCTCTCGGCTGGGTTAGATGCTAGAGTGGCCCCAAGTACTCCCCGCACCCAGAGAAGCTCGCAGCTGCCCACGACTCCTGCAACACCTCCTCCTGGGCCCGGCAGGTCCTGAGCATGGGGTTCACATCCACCCCGGCTGCCTGAGTGCTGGTAGTAGCAGCAACTGCCACCCAGTGTGCCAACACAGTGCCAGGCACGTGCGTGCTACTGCATTGGCTGTCATCTCCCTCACTGGACAGACAAGGAAACTGAGGCTCTAGAGATAAAATAACACAACCAGCCAGTGATGGAGCTGGGAGTCCCCTTAGCAAACTCCTAAGCAGCTCAAGGGTTGCCCAGGTCCAGCTGACTTTAAAGCCCGGGCTCTTCACCATTCTCAGGCTCTATCCCAGAATGCATCTGCTTTCCTGCCTCCCAGCTTTTACTCACCTTGTCCCCTCCCCTGGCATGTCCTTCCCACCCCACATGACTGCAGAGCCAAGTCCTTCAAAACCCAGCTCTAAGGCTCTCTCTGACAAGCATCCGTGCTGCCCCAAGGCAGAAGCAACCCTCCCCGCAGCCCCCATGTTGTATCTGCACCTCAGTTAGCAGCATCTACCACTTTCTCCACTTCCTCCCTGTATCTTCGTTATCTGTGTGCATGTTTCATGTCTTCATTAGCCTGGGAACTTCTCAAGGGCAGGGACCTAGCCCAAGCCTTCTACCACTCTGGTACTCTCTAGATATTTGCGGAATGACTGATAACAACTATAACAAAAGCTAAAGTGTATCGAGCACACACTATGTGCCAGGCCCAGCTCTCAGTGCTTTGGAATGCATTAAAGCATCCAGTGCATGCTCACCACACCCCTAGGAAGTGGGTATTATTAGTAAGCCCCTGTAGAGGTGAATACATTTAGGCCCAGAGAGGTAAAGTGACTTGCCCAGGGTCACAGAGCTGGAATGTGATAGAAATAGCATTCAATCTCAAGTTCTCTGACTCTTAGGCCCAGGCTCCTAACCACTGCACAACACTCTAACCCCTTCTCCCTTTCTGGGAGGTTAAGAGCTCACTGAGCCTCCTTATCCTCAGTATCCAGCACAATTAATATCCATAACTTTAATGAGTGACATTGACTGCCTTTTCCAAGTAGGGCTTGTATCCTAGATTTACAGGTGAGAAAATGACTCAGAGAGGCCCAGTGACTTGCCCAAGGACCCACAGCTGGTTAATGGCAGAGCAGGTCTCAGAGCCAGTCATCCTGATTTCAAAACCTACTTCATAATCATGAGGCTGGCAGTGGCAGGGTGCGTGGGCACCCTGAGCCTCCCCCAGCTCACCCAGGTTGCCCAGGGTCCTGTGGCCTGTGGGAGACAGGAGTGCTGGGACCAGACCAGCCCTCTCCCCACATGTGGTCTCAAGATGCCACCAGCACAGCAAACATCAAGTAGCCCCAGATGTCATTAGCCTGTCCTATCCTCCCAGCAGATTGGGGCTGAGCTGAGAAGACCCTTCTCCCTGGGCTTAGAAGCCCCTCTGGGGCCACAGCCCATGGGGGCAGCTGGATAAAGGAAGGGGAGCCAGCACCCTAGGACAGGAGCCTCCTCAGACCCTGCACATCATAATAACGTCCTGGAAGCTCCCCAACCTCCTGGGCACTCTCACAGCTGCCAATCTGCTCTGGGGATTAGGGCTCAGACTGCGGCCATTCTGACCTCTACCTCTTGTCATAAATAGCTTTGGCTCAGCAGCAGAGGACATGTCACACTCAACCTGCCCTAACCAAGGGCTGCGTGACCCGTTTGCTGAGCATTTCTGGACAGGCAGTGAGCCCAAGCCTCAGAACACCTGGGTCCTCATCCCAGTTCCACCTTAGGTATGCAGCGTGAACTGGGGCCATCTGGTCCCCACCATGAACCCAGTTCATTGTACGTAGACCAGATCAGCTCTTAGTCTTCCCAATTCCATTCACTCCCATTCAATTCACCCAGAACTTTCTTCACCACCCGCAGCCCACCTGGGAGCCCCCACCTGGCGCCCCCTCCTCAGCAGGGATTGCTTTCAATCCCTGGCATCCCCATCACCATGCTAGAGGTAAGAATGGACACTACTCCATTGTAAAGAGAGGCAAACTGAGGCCAATGGCTACTCAGGGTTTGCTACCCGGGGGCCTTGAAGGAAGGGGAGATCTGGAACCTCCGGACCTGGACAGCATTCACCTTTGGCACCGCTGCCCTCCAAAAAGGGTGATTCCCCCCAGCCCTCATTTGGGAGAAAGAGGGAGGCTACTGAAGATTCCAATGACAGGCAATTCAAGTGGCCCCAGCTTAGGCTCCCTAGTCACTCAGAACAAGCCCAGGGACACATCAAGCAAACACCTGATTGTTTGCAGCTGGCTGTGGCCAAACCTCCAGCAAAGCCTTTACTGCCCAGACTGCCCAGCCATGGGACCATTGCCTTGCTTGGTTCAAAGATCCCCATCACCCAGCCCTCCGATTGCCCCTCCATTCTCCAGGGAGCACTAAGGCAGGACAGCCTTGGCCCCAGCTCCCCTGACAGTCGCTGGGTGGGGGTCTTACCGCCCTGACCTCCCATCATGCCCACTGGAGGGATGGATGATGCCCACTTAGGGCCCCACCTGTGTGGCATTGGCCAAGGACCACTTACCCGGTTGCCTTTGGGGCCGGAGTCTCCTACCGGTCCAGGTAACCCCTGAAACACAAATGACAGAGGGGCAAGGACATATGGAGACACTCTACCTGCTGCCAGCAGCCCGGGCAGTCCTGTCTCTTTGGGGCCTCAGCTTCTCCCTCTGTAGAATAGGGTGAAGTTAGACTAGTCATCTTCAACCTGAGCCCCCACAGCCCCAGGATCCCAGGGAGGTGTCTCAGGGGGGAAGCTGAGTGGCAGGGGCCGCTGGAGCCCTGCCCCCACAGAGCCAGCTCTCCTCTTACTGAGCATCCCTGTCCTGCTGCCTGCAAAGAGAGGCTTCCTTGGTCCGGCCCCTGGACAGCCCTTTCCTTAGGGCCCACCCGGCGGGTGCAGCTCCTGGGCCCCCAGCCCACCGCCTCCCTCTGTCTGGGGGCACCGTGGCCATCTCCACACCACCATGGCCACAGAGCTTCCAGAAGCCATATACTGCACCTGCCTGCCAGGGTAACCTTTGGCCCCTGGGCTGCCCTCAAGTCCTGGCTGCCCCTGCAAAGGAACAGAGAAAAACATAAGGAAGGCAGAGACCCTGCTTAGCTCCAGGTCTGGGGGTTTGTGGGGGACTGGGGCTGACAATGGACAGAGAGTGGCAGGAATGTGAACCGAAACAGGAGAAAGGGGGAGCCATGGCCCACTGGGCCCCAAGCCCACCCCTCTGTGAAACCGGTCAGACCAGCTCCAAGGGACAAAACCCCCTCTGCTTGCAGCCCAGGAGTAAGAAAGTACTGGGGCGGCCTGGCTGGCTCTCCCACGCTGGCAGCGCTGCTGTTTGACTTGGGCCAGGGCGGCCAAAATTCCTGCAAACCCCGTGGCGGCATGTATAATATCCCCTAACATTGCCCCGAACAGGCCAGCTATTCATGGCTCTAACCAGAGTTGAGAGGCTCATGCCAACACCGGGTCGGTGTGGACTCTGGCTCTTTCAGGCAAATGTGGCTGGGGGAGAGGTGGGGCGGAGTGGGGGCCCCAGAAGGATGGGAGGCAGAACAGCCTAGCTCCGGGGCTTGCTCACGGAGCAGGATCCAGGCAAGAGCCCTGACACAGGCAGGGGCTGGAGGGAGGGACAGCCAGCAGGGCGGGGCTGAGGCGGGGCCTCACCTGTTCTCCGGGGTGCCCTGTGGGTCCAGGATAGCCCTTGTGTCCCTGTGGAGGGAGAAAGCCGCATCAGGCAAGGAAGACACATCCAGGTCTGTGAGTGGCAGGGGCCCAGCCCCCCAGCCTGTCTTGCTCGGCACTGTATGTGTTACGCTGGAGATGTAATACGTGCTCAGTAAACACTTGCCAAATAGATGCAGATACTATGTGAGGGTTAGCAGATCCCTAGGGTTTCACCTCTGTTCCCAGTGGTTCTTAGATCAGAAGATTCTAGCAGGGTCATTCACTCCTTTGCCAGGGTTTGTGAGCTGAACTGGGATAAGCAACTGTGACTGAGTGATGCTGTATTCCCCAGTCATTCCTTCCAAATCCAAAGACAGGGTGAGACCGACCCTCAGGCATGGAAGGATTTGTCAAGGGATGGGTGGCCCTAGCAGGACCCATGGTCTGGGATATGTTCAACCAGCATGTGATGCTGATTCCCTCCCCCATCAGGACCAGCCCCTTCTCATAGGGCCCCGTTTGAAAAGACCTCACACATGCTGACCACATTTATTAACCAAAATAGCTGCTGCCCTTCTTCCTGCTCCTATTCCAGGGGAGAGAAGGCCACCCACATGCCTGACTGAAGAGGACTCTGGCAACGCCCCACTACCAACGTTGACCCTCTGTCCCGATGGCCCAACTACCATGGTCCAAAGCATGTCTGGGCCAGGCCTGTAGGTCAAGAGAATCAAAACGTGGTGCGCTTTCAGGTGGCACTGGCGATGACCACCTGAGCCATTAAGAGTGTGGTCTCCGAGGGAAATGCCAGACTTTGAACTTCTGTCAGCTTGGGGCTGTTGTGGAAATAAGACTGAGCAAGGGGCTTCCATTTCAGACAGGGTGACCACACAGCTGCCCAGTACACCCCTTTACACCAGGAGCTCTGGGCTTGGTGTAGACACTGTACCTGACTTACCATGTAACTTTGGGTAGGTTACTGCCCTTTTCTGGATCTCAGATGGGGGAGTTAGAACTCTTGGTGCCCTTCAGCTCTGATGTTTTAGAACCCTAGAGTTCTGAGACTCCCCCAGAGTCCAAATACACACACAAGACTCAAGATATGCTACAAGAGTCTAGTACACACACACACACACACACACACACAGACTCCCCTATAGCACTACTATTTTCCCAGGACTACATCAGTAGTAGATGACCTCATCCAGCCCTTACAACAGCCAGATGAGGTGGAAGGGGGTAGTTATCATCTCCACTTTACAGAGGAAAAAGTTGAGTCTGGGAGAACTGAAGCCATCTGCCACCAGTGCCATTGCTGAGCAGCAGCAGGCACCCACTCAGCATCAGGTCCTTCTGACACCTGACTACTCACTGACAGCCTCGCAAACATTCCCAGGCTGGGACAGCTCCATGCACATTCACAAACACACACAGGGACACATTCAGCACCCCCGCAAACTCCCGGGAAGCAGACACTCTTAGCTATAAACAGCAGAGTCGGTTTGATCCAAGCGGTGTCGGGAGTTTACAAGCATTCCTTCTGCACCTACTCACGCCTCGAGACCACTCGGCAACAAGATTGTATCTCACACCCAGCAGCCTATGGAGAGTGATGCAACATGGCTGGGTGAGATTCTTCACCTGGGGCGTGTGCTCTTTTCCCCAGTGGGCAAACTAGGGCACAGGCCACCGCCAGCAGCTAGCATGCAGAGTGATCAAGATCTCTTGTTTCAGCCTGATCTGGATGCCAGTGCTATTCCACCAACCAGCTGGCTGTGGGGCCTGAAGCCAATGACTTCATCTCTCTGAGCCTCATTTTCTTCGGATGTAAAATGGGGTTGTAAGGGTTGGTGCATGGATTATGTGATATGTGTTTAAAGTACTTCACACAATGTCTGGCATTGAATTCAAGGGCTCTGTAGAGACCTGGTGCTGTTATCATCACGTTCTTCATTTTTCAGTTATTCACTCAACGAACATTCACATTATTGAGCAAACAGTCTCCAGAGTTTGTAGGCTCCAGCACCGTTGTAGGCACAGGAAGAATGAGATAGACAACATTCTTTGCCTTAATGGAGTTTACATTCTAATTAACGAGCTACAAAAACAAAATAAATATAAAAGATAACATCTGGTGGGGGGCAGGGGAAACGGAGTTGTTTAATGGGTATAGAGTTTCAATTTTGCAAGACGAAAAATTTCTGGAGCTCGGTTGCACAACAACATGAATACACTTAATACTACTGAACTGGACACTTAAAAATCGTTAAGATGACAAATTTCATGTCATGTATTTTTTTACCACAATAGAAAAATAAAATTTTAAAAAGAGAGAAATAATGTCTGGTAGTGACCAGAGCTATTAAGAAAAAGCAGCAGAGTTAGGGGACAGAGAATGGCGGTGGTGGGGAGGCGTGGTGGCTGCAGGGTGGGTGGTCAGGGACATCTCTGAGGAGATGAATGAGATAAGGGAGCCAGACGTGGGGCTGCCTCTCTGGGGAAAGGCATTACCGGCAGAGAGCACCGTGAGTGCAAAGGCCCTGGGGCAAGATCACTGTCGGGTAGGTTTGAGAATGCACAAGAAGGCCTATGTGATTGGAACAGAACAAGTGGGGGGGTGAAGGGTCGGGGTGGTCAGAGAAGAAGCAGGAGAGCAGAGCGTGCTGGCGGTGATATCATGGGAACCACAGGAGGGCACTGAGCGGGGATGTAGCATGATGCGATTCATATAACCACCGTTATTATCATTTTTCCCCTTGCAGCTTGCAGACCAGGAGGAACAAGCAAGGCCTTTTCCCAGTAAAGAGCAGAACTGAGCCTTGCACTCTTGGCTGTGTGACTCAGCACGGGTGATTGCCCTCTGAACCTCACTCTGCCATCCTCTGTCATCCTCTGCCTGCTGCTAGGGGGGTTGTGGCAAAGAGCCAATGCGGTAACAGGGCAAGGACCCCAAGGGAACCAAAAGGGGGGCCAGAAAGCCTCTGGCCATCACCAGCTCCTGTGGCTTCCTCTGCAGCCAATCAATTCATTAGCCCCCCTTAAAGGAAGCAGAGAAGTGTCTCCAGTGAAATCCCAGAGGTGATTTCAAATAAACCCTTTACTCAGGATGCAACTAAAAGGAAACAAATAATCATCAGGGCCTGGATAATGGCCAGCCCTATGCCTGGTTCAGCACGAAAGCCTTCAAACACACCAGCTCATCAACCCCTAGGAGGCAGGAATTACCATACACATTTGTCAGTTGAGGAAACCGAGGCTCAGAGAGGTGAAGAGACTTTCCTGAGGCCACGCAGCTTTCCAAGGGCAACACCAAGCCTTTGACTTCAATCCCTATGTCCTCAACCACCAAATCATGGGATCATGTTCATGGAGGACCAAAGTCTGCCCAGAAGAGCCACCCAAGGAAAGATCCCCTTATAGATGCACCTCCCCAGGATGGGAGCTCATGGGTTATCGTGGAATTATTGGGGCAGAGGTCAGTCACAGTACCCTGCAGTATCTGAGGTGGAAGGGATCTAAGCCATCAGTGTGACAATCTCCTTTTTCTTTGGGACAGACAGGGAGGCGAAAGGATGAGGTGCTTCTGCTCTCTGAGAAGCACCTTGACAGTGTTTACTAAGCTGGGGCCAGCAAATAGCTTCAAATGACAGGGCCCCAAGACCTGAGAAACTGAGGCTCAGAGAGGGGAAGGGATTTGCCCAAAGGAACTTAGCAAGTTATTGCCAAGCCCAGACTGTTCCCCAAGAACAGTCTCTAGACTGGCTGGCCTGTGCTTTGTCCAGAAGACCACAATTCCCAGGTCTCTTCTGATCAACAGACCCCAAGGGACCTTGAATATTGCCATGAACACCCCCGTTTCTCCTAGCTGGCCGGGAGCAGCAGAGCCTGAGCATAGCCAAGGTGGGAGGCGAAAGGATGAGGTGCTTCTGCTCTCTGAGAAGCACCTTGACAGTGTTTACTAAGCTGGGGCCAGCAAATAGCTTCAAATGACAGGGCCCCAAGACCTGGAAGAACCTAAACCATTATCTTCTCCAGGGCCCCAGCAATTATGTGGCAGGCACTGACTGCAAAGTGGACCCACAGACAGTGATTTCCGTTTGTGATCCGTGTCTGACTGGTAGTAGGGGACAGGGAATGCTTCAGGGACCATGGCGTCTACAAGGGGCCGCTGGCTGCCCAGCAGGCGGGTCTCCACAGGACGTGTGTTTATAATAGAACTCGGTCTATATTTTGGTTTGGGAGCCAGATTAATCATTGCTTACAATGTGCAAGGAGAAACCAGACATCACCTCACTGTTGCTACAGACAGTCTCCCCATCCGGCTGGGATGCTATTTGGTCTTTGGACAGGAAGGGGGAGGGGGTCCCGTCTTTGCCTGGGGGTCCTGGGAACGAGTGCATGCTCAGACTTAATAGCTGTTCACCCCAGCTCCACCTTAGCCTAGATGAGGCCTCAGTTTCCCTTGTAGTAAAATGGAACTCCCCAAACTTGCTAAGCACTGCAGAGAGTTCCATTGGACTTATCTACCCCCTTGGGAGCCCACATCCCACACCAGGCAGTCAGCAGGACAGAAGGAATCGAAGGGTAGGAAACACATGCCAAGATATTACACGATTCTGGACAAGTCCCTGCTCCTCTCTGGGCCTCAGTTTCCCCAGCTAGCTTCTCAAAGCATCCTTTTGGTTCAGAATTCTGAAGTCTGTGACTGGTCTAAAAGCACAGTCATCATGGCACAGCCTGTTGTCTAACACCAAACTGTGCTTTGCAGATACTTCAGACAGGGCAGGAAGATATAACTTCTGAATGGCTCATTCACTCACCCAGTTATTCATTCATTCAACAAACATTTGCTGAGCTCCAACAAGGACCAAGACCCTGTGGTGGGCACAAGGGATATACACTGGTGAACAAAACAAACTCTCTCCCTACCTTCTAGAAGGGTAACACATAGTAAGGGGAACAAAGGAGAAGAACCGAGCTCTAGGAGAGTGTCGATCCATCTGACCAGAGGAAGCAGTGATGTAAACTGAGTCTTGGAGGAGGAGCAGGGGCTGGATGGAAGAGACAGGATGAGGTAGGAGAGATGCCAGTGGGTAGGGGCCACAGGAGCCCAGAGCAGCTCAGCAGCAGGGGAGCCCAGAAGAGGTTCTCAGGAGGGGCTCTATGGAACTGGGGGTGCCACACTCAGGTAGAAAAGGCAAGAGATCATCCAAGCAGCTCCAGTCATGTTCCCCCCACAGAACATTCCCAGATGGCTCCCTGTGCCCTCCCCTTTTAATACAGCTTTCTACAGACAGTGGCCAACTCCAGTGGCATAAGGAGGGCTAATGGGCACGGTGAGGGCACAGGAGGGAACCAGGGGAAATCAGGCTGGAAAGAGGGCGGATAAGTTCCAACATGAGTGCCAATTTTGTTCCATTAATCATGTCTACCTGGGGCAGAAAGGTTAAGAAAGATTCTGAGGCTGTATCGGGGTTTGGCAGGAAAGATCACTTAGTAATATCTGCCAGAGGTGGGGAGGGAGAGAGATGTAGAGCGGAGCAGAGGTACGTGTTCAGCGCGTTAAGAAAGATTCTGAGGCTGTATCGGGGTTTGGCAGGAAAGATCACTTAGTGATATCTGCCAGAGGTGGGGAGGGAGAGAGATGTAGAGCGGAGCAGAGGTACGTGTTCAGCGCTGCGCTAAGGCCCACATGGGGAAACAAAGACAAACAGGTTAGACTCTGCTCTCGTGCACTTGTTCCAGTCTAAGAAGCGTGTCAAGGACGCCAGTGAGTTGGCCACCAGCCAGGAAGTGCAGAACCCCAAAGAGGCTGAGGTGGATGAGATGGTCAGAGAAAGGAGATGCGACTTCGCCCAGAGGTGCTGTGGAGGTGCTCTTGGAGAAGATGGCATTTGAGAATGGACCCCAGGGATGGACATGTGAGGATGAGCGTGGAGGAGAGAGCATGCCAGGGAGGGCACAGCAGAAGCACACGCGGGGAGGCGGGACGGCCCGCAGCGTGTAGGAGCGGATGGAGTGAGGGTTCTGCCCAGCAGGTTTCTCAGCCTCGGCACTGGGTGTGTCTTCGCTGTGTGTGGTGGAGCCGTCTGTGCATGGGGGGCTGTTCAGCAGTGTCTCTGGCTTCTACTCATGAGAATATAGGAGCACCCATCCTTCCCAGGTGTGACAACCAAAAAATGTCTCCAGACATTGTTAACTGTTCCCTGGGGGGCAGAGTCACCCCCACCTGAGAACCACTGGTCTCCAGAAAAGAAGGCCAGGAGGGTTAGGCTAGAGACAGCATGGGAGGTACAAACCAGGTTCTGGCAGCCTTCTTGGTTACGGGAGGGTGGTTAACTGGTAACTAGCAAGGTGACTGATGGTACCAGATGGGCCATCATCTGAAGATCTTCTTCAGCTGCTTCTCCTTCATGATCATAATAATCATTCATTCATTCATTTGACAAACACATATGAAGTGCCTGCCATGTCCCAGCCCTGTGCTAGGTGCTGGGGTTATAACATCTCATTTAACCCTCTCAACCTCCCCTTGAGACAACTGAGGCTCAGAGCGGTGAGGCGACTTGCCCAAGTTCCTGCAGCAGGAGAGGGACAGAGCTGGGATTCCATCCAGGTCTGTCTGAGCCAGTCTGCATGCCTCCCCGCCAGCCCTCAGGAATCAGCCCAGCAGTCCCTCAGCAAGCATCTCAGGCAGACAGCTGAGAGACAGGCTTTCTCAGCCAGGCAGCCTCTCTTTTACTCAATGGGCCTTCTCTTGTTCAAGAAGCTGTTTCCATCAACCTTGTGGTGAGAGAAAGGGCCTGAGCGTCAGAAGACCTGGGTTCCAACCCCAGCCCTGCTGCTTAGGATTGGTGGAAGGTGTTTCCATGGAACCGCTGGCTGCAATCTTGGCTTCTCCCGAGAACCACCTGGGGGGCTTTGAGAGCTGCCGATGCCTGGGTCCTGCTTTCAGACCAACTGAGCCCAAATCCCCGTGATGGGGCCACAGCTCCTCAGCTGGTTCTCATTTGTCATTTAACACCCGTGTCAGCACAGGGCTAGCACACTGGCACAGATTTGCTGGATGACTGGAAGAATGAATGAACGAGGGAGTGAATGAACAAGACCTATTGGGCCTCAGTCTTCTCACCTGTAAAATGGGCATAGTACTGCCTAACTCTTGGAAGATGCTGTGAGGAAACAATGGGGTGGGATAGTAACCCTTTCTGCCACCTCTAATTTGCCACCCTATTTAATAATGGAACACTCACACCCACAACTCCCTTTCTCCTGCACATTTTTCTCCATAGCCCTTTCATCTTCTAACATACCTTCTATATTCACTCTTTTTCTCTTATTGTCTGGCCCCGCTCCCCCAACAGCCCTAAAAGGATGCAAGCTCTGCAGGTCATGGATTTTTGTCTATTTGTTCAGCTCAGTGCCTGGCACATGGGAGGCATTCAATAATTCTTAAATAAATGAATGAATAGGATTACTGGCATCACCTCAGAGTGGTATAGAAATTGAAGGTGCTGGTGAGCAGAGAGGAAGCTGGCCTCACCTCTCACTCACCCCTGTCCATTCTCCCTCAGGGATCCCCACAAAAGATGGTGCAGAAAAGCCATGCTAGAGAATCAGGGCAAAGTGGCATTGTCGTAACCAAAGACGTGTGCAGCACAGACTGCTTATAGTGATCCTTCCAGGCATGGTTGCCCACCCCATCAGTCCTTTCTCTAACCCTCCACTGGTCAGGGGACCCTGCCTTGGGACGTAAGCTCCCTCCTGTTCTGCCCAGCACCCTCTGTGAGGGAGTGACACCAGCCTGCCACAGACCAAACTTCTCCATGTGTGCCTGCGCCAGGGCCAGAGGGGAACTCTGGGTAAATGACTTTGCCAAATAGTTTTCCAACTGCATGGAGGCTCTTCCTGAAATTAGAAAAGATGCCTCTCACACCCAGGTGAGCTGGTTCCTCTCAGTTGGAGGCTCTTGGCCTCCCTGGACATCTGCTAAGTGCAAGGAGCCCTGGAGCCCCAGGCAGGATCTGGTCCAAGCCTGTTTTTTCCATCTCCCGCCACCTCTGCTAGACTGCCACCCCCACGCAGCGCAAGACCACCATGGGCTGCTTTACGAGCCAGGGCTGGAAGGAGATTTCCACTCACACTTCATCCATTGGAAAGTGCTGGAGCCCAGAGGGGAAGTGAGTGGGGAGGGGGAGTCCTTCTGGGTTCTCTGAGCCAGAAGAGACCACGTTTCCCAGTCACAGTTGGCCACAGCCTCTGTCTGGGGCTGGCCTCTTAGATTTGAGATGTGGCCTGCTCTGGCCATAGAGGATAGAGGAAAAGGGGAAGGGGGATATGGTTCTGCAAGTCTCCCTGAGCCATGGGGACCCTGGAAGCAAGGATAGGAGAGAGCCAAGGATACCACAGCTGTCCAGATGAGAACCAGATGGCCCAGAGGGAGGGCAGCTGTGGCCACAGCTGGGAGCCTAGGCTATGTATCTACTGAACAACCCATCAGCAATGGGGGATTTTCCTGCAAAGAAACCCGACTGACCCTTAGCCTGCATTGCCCTCCCTGTTTCCTGAACATCTGCTAGGCACAGGCCCTGTGCTTGGCTCAGTAGAGAGAGCAAGAAAGCAGAACTGCATGCCCTGGTTGGGCTGGAAATAACTAAATTGAGATGGGCTAAGTGTCCTTGCACAGAGCGGAGAAAACCCGACTGACCCTTAGCCTGCATTGCCCTCCCTGTTTCCTGAACATCTGCTAGGCGCAGGCCCTGTGCTTGGCTCAGTAGAGAGAGCAAGAAAGCAGAACTGCACGCCCTGGTTGGGCTGGAAATAACTAAATTGAGATGGGCTAAGTGTCCTTGCACAGAGCGGAGGCCCATGGCCTGAAGGCTGGGTGCTCCAGGAGGGCTTCCTGGAGTAGGCACAACTACAGTATAGTCTTAAAGGATGGCAGACCCTGGCTGGAGAAGGTGAGCTGGAGAAGCGGGAGAAGAATCCAGGAGCACTGTAAACTAGAGACGCACTATCTCGGAAAATGGCAGACTTCCCCCCACCCCCCACAAGGCATTTAGAGGGTAACTCCCCCAGCGTGGCTTCAGAGGGGATGGGGAGGGGCGACATATCAATGGCCGGGAATGTATGAAGAGCTCATTGCCTTCATAGACCTTTCCCTTCACCTGCAGCACACCAGCGAGGGACAAATATCAGACTCAGAGAGGTTGCCGACTTGCCCAAGGTCATCCAACCAGGAAATGGCAAAGGCAAGAGTAGAATCAGGTCCCACTGACCCCAGAGCCTGCTCCCTCAACTTCTCTGCCCCAGGCCTTGCTCCAGGGTCTCACAGCCCCAGGCTGTGCGGGGTCATGGAGGGGGGTCACTGCCTCCATTTCAGGAGGAAGGAGGCTGAGGCTCAGGGACAGGATGCGCAGGCCCAAGGCCACTCAGTCAATGGGCAGTGGAGCTGGGGCCAACGTGGGGCCCTCCCAGCTCTGCAGACAGAGCTCTTCCACCACCACAAACATTCTTGAGGACGGCCTCCCAGGGCAGCCTGATGCCCCCAGACCAAGGACACTTCTTGTCACACCTCATTAACCATGGTGGGTGGGGGCGAGCCTACTCCAAGCCAAGGTGCTCCCTGCACCCAGCAAGCACAACCCCCGGAAAACCCTCCCACCTCCCACCAGTGTGCCTTGTGTTCAAGGGAGCTGGGCTGGGGCTGGGGAGAGGCAGGTGGGCCCACAGCTGTCCTGCCTGAAGCCCCGGCTTGCTAGGACAAGGCAAAACATCAAAGCCAGGTGTACCTTTCGTCCCAGAGGTCCTGGATTCCCAGGGAGACCAGTCAAGCCCATGTCGCCCTGCAACACACAGAGAAGGTGGGTGAGGTGGGGGAACAGGGCAGAGACACTCAAGCCGGAGGTGTGACCTCCAACGGCTGATTGTTTCCACACGGGGTTGGTGGAGGCCTAGAGGCTTTAGAGAAGACTTGAGGGTTGCCACATGGGTGAGAACAGAGAAGTGGGCAAGGTACCCTTCCCACACAACTCAGTAATTCCCCTTGATGTATTTTACATATCGGGCTTTGGCAGAAGATGCCATTCAGAGAATGGTTCCAATACTAAAACTATGTTTGAAAACCGCGCTCCTAAGGACATGCACCTTATATGTCCCATCCCAGCCAGCTCTCTCTCCCTGGCTTCCTGAAACACCTTCCCAGTGCTGGGCATGGTGGTCACCATGCAGGGGGCACTTCTGTCACCACCATGAGACCTGACAGCAGGCCATGCAGGAGCAGGAGAGGTCCAGGCCCTGGGTACAAATCCCATTCTGCCACTTACCAACTGAGTGACCACCAGTAAGCCACCCCCATTTGGGACCTCTGTTTTCTCATCTGCAAGCCCATCTATCTGCCCTGGCCTATAAGATTATGAAGAGGATCAAATGGGAGTATATGTGGACACTGTTCTGGGACCTAGGGTTACCCAGTGAATGTTTGCTGAATGAAAAAACTTAGCAGGGAGGAGTTGAAGCAGTGAGTCACCCATGCCTCGACGAAACGAGGAGGCTGGGTTGACAAGCAGTGTCCCATCTGTCAGGAGGGCTCTTGGGCCATGTCCAGAAGGTAGCCAGAAAGACCTGAGCGTTCCTGCCAGGGTATGTGTGTCTGTGACACTGGATGACCTTGATCGGGGTTCTGGGCTCCCTTCTTCCCACCTGTCCTGCACTCTGTCCAGTTCCCTTAGTCTGTGGGATGGACACTTCCGGGATGGATGAAGTCCTTTGGCCAAAGTATTTTCGTATGTGTGTCTGTGACACTGGATGACCTTGATCGGGGTTCTGGGCTCCCTTCTTCCCACCTGTCCTGCACTCTGTCCAGGTCCCTTAGTCTGTGGGATGGACACTTCCGGGATGGATGAAGTCCTTTGGCCAAAGTATTTTCTCTTCTGTGGGCGAAACTTATGGTCTCCTAGCCCTTCAGAGTTAGGGAGCCCTGAATCTCAAGTCCGTTCCCTTCCCACCTCCTAGAAATCCAGAGACCCGCCTGCTCAAATTAACAGCTTCCCAGGGGACTTTGAATGCCTGTTGGAAGCTTCTTTGGCATGTGATACCAAGAAGCTTCTGGATGCCCAGCGTCATTTAGCAGGCCCTGCAGAAAGCCATGCAGGGTATTGGGCAAAAGGACATTCACCAAGGGCGTGTCTCTAGGCAAAATCTTTTGTCAGTTTTGTTGGTTCCACCCTGCGCATGGGAATGGCCTTGCGTTTGGTGTTGAAAAGGCTGAAAATAAGGAAAAAACTAAAGCACACCTGACCTTTCTAGACATCCCCCTCCCTGCCTTTGTCACACGTGGCCTCTGCCAGGATGGCTCACCGCAGAGTGTGGCAGCTTCACCACTGCCCACTCCCCCTCTTCCCTGAGCACTGGGATCCCTGGAAACCTACCTTTGCCCCATCGTGGGCCTTTCCTGGTGAGAGCCCCGGGTCCCCTTTCTGTCCCTGAAACAAAAATAATTCTGCTTTGGCCACCAGGTCATCTAGAGAGGATGTCTCCCCACAAACTCTGGTCAAAGCCCTGTTCCCCTGAAATGCCTTCCCACCCCCCACCCCCCCACACACACACCTCCAGGAGTGTCTTCTCCAATTCCAACACTCCCCTGCTCTAACACCTTCCATAGCTCCCTACTGACTGCAGGGTGACCAAGTCCAAACTCCTCCTTCCAGTGTCCCAAGTCTTCCGTAATCCGGCCCCAGCCATCCTGTCCAGACTTTGCTCTCCTTTCACTAACCAAACCCACAGAGAGGGTCCCTCTGCTCCATCCCCAGACCACGGCCCAGTCCTCAGTCATGTGGCCCCAGCCATCCTGTCCAGACTTTGCTCTCCTTTCACTAGCCAAACCCACAGAGAGGGTCCCTCTGCTCCATCCCCAGACCACGGCCCAGTCCTCAGTCATGCCCGGCACTGTCCTGTTGCCAGGCCCTTGCTCAGGCAGTCACCCCCACCTAGAAAACCACTCCCCAATCATCATTAGCCAAACCATAAACAATCTTCAAGATGTAGCTTGAATGCATCCTGCCCCACCACCCTGTAGAGCTCTGGACCCACCATGCAAGTGACCAGTCTGCCTGTGCATGTTGCTAGGACTGTCTTCTGGCTTGTTCCCCTGGAGCTGTCAGAGAAATTCTGAGAGAGGCATCCAAGAGGCACATGGATTCTTTCTGACTTTCCAGAATGCTGACATTCACCTCATTGCTCCCTAATTACCTGAGTCAATGCACTACCAGCCACTACAGCCCTTCACAGTTTGCAATAGCCCTCACCTACTAGATTCCCAGGATAGGCTGATGAAGTGGGCAAGGGAAGCGTTATTACCCCCCTAATACATTTGGAGAAACTGAGGCTAGGAGAAGGAAAGGGACTGTCCAAGCCCTAAGACAAAGCTCTAGCAGAGCTGAGGATAGAGCCCTGAATTTGCGACTCACAGACCTGTATTCTGGGATGTCCTCAGACCCAATGAGTTAGAATAGGCAGTAAATGGGGAACAAACTGACAAGCAGCTGGTCCCCAGTCAGAAGCAAGAACCCTTTGTGCCTAGCACATGGGAGGGTCCCCATCACAAAGATCCTTGCTCCTAAGAGCATGGGACTCAGGAAAAGGTCCCTCAGAGCTCACCAGCTGCATCTCTTATGGGGCTGAAAAGTGCTCCTGGCTGTGGCCCCTCTCATTTGGCCAAACCTGGTTAAATTACTCAGCATTTTGGAAAGTCAGTCCACCCTGATGTCACCTTCTAAGAGCTCCTAATCCTTGTCCCCATCCCCACCCACACTCCCTCCCTGCTTCAGCTGGGCCCAGAGTCAGAAGTCCTGGGGTGAAGCTTAGACCCGCCACAGACTCACAGAGGGACTCTGAGAAAATCTCTTTGCCTCTCTGAGCCTCAGTTTCCTCACCTGTAAGATGGGGGCCACACAGAACTCACACACCTGCCAGCTGCCCAGGTCGCTAGGCAAGGAGCCAGTGGGATAATGGCCATGACACAGGGAGGGATGGTTTGGCCAGTTTTAGTTAATTCCCATTTGGTTCTTTTCTTTATCAGAACTCAGACCCTCTAAATCCTGACTCTCCAGAAATCACTGCGTTGCAAACTGCAAAGAGCCTCCAAGAAGAAAGGGCAAACCTTTTGCTGCTCACCTACTATGCACGGATACTTTGCACCAGCTCCTCTAGTCCTCATAAGACCCTCTTGCTGCAGCAAAGAACAAAGACTGGGCTTCAGAGAAGCTAAGTCCCAGCCCAGCCTGACCTGGGAGGTTAGAGGTAGAGGCCGCCTAGGTCCCCAGGCAGGTCTGACTTCAAAGCTCCAATTTGCAAATGTGAAGCCTGAGGGCTTTTCCCTCGCTCCCTCCCCCTGCCCCCAGATGCGCTAGGCTGAAGGCCAGCCCTTCCTCGCTAGGGCCCCAGGACTCCAACTCTGTCTACCTGGGCCCCCGCAGGTCACTTCTGCAGGGCCTCACCTCTGGTATCTACCTTGCACTGTAGCTGCCCCTCACGGTACTCCCCACCCTCAGCTGTTCACGCGCCCAGCTCAATGCCTTTTATGTCCATGGTGCAAGGCCAGGCCCAGGACTACCGAGGATTCCAATGGCCAAAAAAGGACAGCAGCTACTCCTCACCGCATGCTTGCCCACCTCGGTCTGCAGCTGATAGAGGAGCTGGGCTTGAAAAGCTTTCAGGGGTGGGTCTTTGTCTATACTACTCTGTCATTTTACAAAAAAGGGAAACTGAGACCCAAAGAGATGACAGACTTGCTCCCTTGCACAAGTCCTTACCTGGGGCATTTTAGTTATTTATGGATTTCTCTATGCATTCTGAGCAGCAGCAAAGAGCTTGGGATGTGATCTCCACCCACGTACAACACTAATAAGTACAGATATTTATTGAACATCTTCTACGAGCCAGGTCTTGTGTTGAACATAGGGGACACCAGGGTGGAGAACAAGACACACCTCACATCCAGAGGGTGGAGAGAGAAACCAGAGAGCCTGGTAATGATAAGCACTAGCGTTCATGTGTGCTCTTCCAAGCCCTGGACTCATATTAGCCCATTTAATCCTCCAAATCTCTGAGGTAGCAATGATCACTAAGAGAGAAACCAGAGAGCCTGGTAATGATAAGCACTAGCGTTCATGTGTGCTCTTCTAAGCCCTGGACTCATATTAGCCCATTTAATCCTCCAAATCTCTGAGGTAGCAATGATCACTACCCCCATTTTACAGAAGAGGATAGATACTAAGGCACAATGACAATAAGTCACTTGTTTGAGATCATGTAACTAGTAAGTGGGATTTAAACTCAGGCAGTCTGGTTCCAGCCTCCATGCACTTCACATTTCAATACACTGCAGAAGAAAGACTACAATCCAGTGATAAGTGGAAGACAGGAGGAAGTTGGGGAGAACTTCAACCAGACTGGGGGTAAATCTTTGAAGGGAGCTACAGCTAAACTGAGGCTGGAGGAAGACAAGGGGCAGCCAGATGAAGTTACAGCTCAAGGGATGCTCAAGGTTCCCCTAGTCAGGTGAAGTTATGGCTTCTGGGATGAAGAAGACTATATATTTTCCAAGACGGATTCCTGCAAATTCCCCAGTGAGAGATATGCAGAATACATGAAGTCTAATGAACCATTTACACCTTGGTGAAGACAGGAAACCAGTCACTGGAGCCAGCTCTCCAGCCAAGGAGCCTGTGTGACCTCAAGCCAGCCACTCTCCCTCTCTGCATGGGGAATGATGGACACCGTCTGGACTAGTTAACAGAGTTGTGCAGAACTAGAAGACAGATGGGAAGGAATATTCTTAACCTAAGTATTAAGAACATAGCAAGAATGGGAACTATGTTGAGTTCCTTTTCCTGCAGGAATGGTTGGGAGGTAAAGTGAACAGAAAGGGCTCTGGGTAGCTCAGGCACAGAAAGGGGCTGAGACAAAGGAGGAATAAGTCATGACGGACTGGGAAATTCTGGGCTGGAAGACTCTTGTATAAGTCATCTCTGATCTCAAGTACCTAGCATGGGCCTGATCCAGAGGAGGCATCCTAAAACATTTCACAAATGAGCAAATGAGTGAATAGAGTCTCAAGAGACAATGCAAGGCTGGGATTGGGTCAGATCTGGCCTTAGCTCTGGAACTTCCTCTGCAAATTCACTTGACCTTTCACTATCACTACTAATATTTCATGTGCTTAGAAGTTCTGGCCAATGCAATAAGGCAGGAAAAACAAATAAGAACTACTAACCTTTGAGGAAAAATAAGAAAAGGATGTCCTTCTTTGCAAACAATATAAGTGTCTATCTAGAAAATCTAGGAGAACTAACTAAAATACTACTAGAACTAATATGATAATTCAGTAAGAAGGATGGTTAAAAATCAGTAGTTCTCCTCAGTAGCTGAGAGCCAGCTGGAAAATATAATGGAGAAGAATATTCCATTCATAACAGCAACAAAAATATAAAATTTCAAAGTATGAACTTAAGATATGTGCACAGCTTAGGCAACAAAAGCTATATAAGTTTACTAAGAGATTTTTTAAAAATTCAAGCAAATGGGAAGATATGCCATGTTTGTAGATAGGAAAACTTAATATTTTAAAGATGTTAATTCTTCCCAAATTAATATACACATTTAATACCATTCAAGTAAAAATCCCAAGAGGATTATTTTAAGGAAATTGTTTAGATGTGCATAAAGTTCACCTGCTAGAATAAATAGCCAGAAACATATTAAAAGAAGGGAGGGGAGACACACAGTGTAAAGATAGTAAATGTCATATAAAATGGTATTTTACTAGCATAAAAGTATACAAACAGAGCAACGAACATAATAGAATGGCCTGAAATAGACCCTGCTTTATCTAATAATCAATTGAGGAAGGTTATTTAATGAATGGGGAATTATTGGGAATAAAATAATGTTACAGCCCTACTTCATATCTCCCCAACCCTAGGTAAGATTAATTACTGATGGTTTAAAATTTTTAAGAGTACAAATGATATTATGAAATGACTAGGAATATAAGTGAATACCTATCTGATTTTAAGATGAGGAAGAAATTTGTAAGTATAAAAGCAAAGTAAATGACCATAAACTTTATATATCACTAGAGCCCCCTTCAAATTACCTGACATTTTAAGTTCCTAATAAGTGTTAGCTATTATTGTTACTTAAAAAAAAAAAAAGATAACACATCCATTTGTGAAAATCATCATGAGTACTCTTACTAGGCAAACAACCAACTGGAAAATATTGGTAAGATGGGTGAAGTCTTAATAACTTTAGTACATAAATATAAATACTTTTTACAAATCAAATACAAATGACAACATACCAACCCCCAAAATAGACTAATTCATAAATGGTGAAATACAAATGTAAAACAGATGTAAGACAAACACTCATCTCATAGATGATCAATGAAGTGAAAACAATCATAAGTTTCTTCTTCTTT